AGTAAATAAATAAAAGTAAATAAGTGAGGTGATGGATGTGTTAATTAACTCAATAGAGGGAGAATACTTTCACAATGTGTATGTAAATCAAATTATCTCCTTTTACATTTTATATATCTTACAGTTTTGTCAATTATACGTCATTAAAGCTGGAAAGAGTGAAATCAAATACCTTATAGCAAAAAAAAATTTTTTTAAGAGATGTAATTGTGCATATAAAGAAACAGTGAAGTTGATAAGACTCAAGAGGAAACCCACAGAAAAGCTTTATGTAATTTGGATGCTAGTGATAAAGAGAGAACTATCTCACTGTTGATGAAAATCCAATGCAGGTATTTTTAATGAGTACTGGCATAGCTCTTATTAAAGGTTACTGGAGACTAATATGTTTTCCACAAGAAATATACAAAACTGCTTCTCTTACTGTTTTCCATCAAGAGCTTTAGTAGCAGTGGTAATACTAATGGAAACACAAAGATTTACTACATATAATGGAGTACAGGTTGATATCAAATTAAACTAAAAAATGCTTATATTCATATGTTCAAAGGTAATATTTCAAGGCTGAATAAGACCCTAAAGATCTTCAATTCAAGTTCTTCGAAGATGGAAGTGGTTAAGAAACAGCATTGGAATCAAACAGACTTGAATTAAGGTCCCTCTGACCAATCACTAAGGATGTGACCTGGACAGGTTACTTAAGTTTCCCAGGGATAATGCACCGCCTCTGGTCTGTTAAAGTTGACATGCAAAAATAAGACATTCAATCTTGCAGCACTGAATCAGATGATGACATTAAACATTACGAACAATGCCTCATCCTGGGGTGTCTGGGTGGCTCAGTCGGTTAAGTGTCTGACTTCAGCTCAGGTCATGGTCTCACAGTTAGTGGGTAAGAGCCTAGCATTGAGCCCTGCATCTGACAGTCCAGAGCCTGCTTGGGATTCTCTATTTCTCTGCCCCTCCCCAACTTGTGCATGCTCTCTCTCACTAAAAACAAACAACTCTAAAACAAATAAACAAACAAAAAAACCCAAAGGATATGAGATGAAGTGAAGTGAGAATAGGACCCCTTCTGCATCCCTCCCCTTTTCCAACAATTTAGTTCTAAAGCCACTAGGGATGAGAGCAAGGCAGGCATATAAAGATGTAGGGCAATAATCGGGGGCGGGGGGGTTCGTCTGGTGACTCTGCATGTATATAAATAGATTACAGAAAAGTTGCAAAGACGGGAGAGGGTTCCTAAATGTCCTTCATTCAGTTTCCCCTAATGTTAACATTTTACATCCAACCAGGGAGAAGAGGATATCCACTTCAAGCAGGGATTGGCCTGGGACTCCAAGCTGAAGAGAGGTAAAGAGAACATAAGCTCAGGGGAGGGGAGCCAAATTGAAGATTGGTTTCATATAAGGAAATTGCTCAAATAATTAAATACGGTAAAGTTGATGAAAGTCAGTTTCTCACTGCCAAAAAAGGAAGTTACAAATGTGGAAAAGGAAAAAGACTAGAGTGAACCTGTGGTCTTAGATTGGAATTGGTGATAGAAGTCATGGCTTTCAATGCATATGAATGGAAATGTGTGCATATATGTGTGTATATTCTCTAGCTTTATCCACAGAGAAACCTTGAGAGCAGTGAAACCCAGGAACTCAGTAAGATAATGAACATATCTGACATCCAGAATTTAGATTGTAAATACCATTATCTGCTGAAAGGAAACGGAACTTCCAGTATTAAGCATTATTCTAGAGAAAGAATTGAACTGGCACAAGACTATTTACTGTGGGACACCTGGTGGCTCAGTCAGTAGAGACTACAATCTTCATTTGGGGGCTGTTAAGTTCGAGTCCTATATTGGGCGGAGATATTACTTAAAATAAAATCTCAAAAAAAAAAGAGTATTTCTTGCAATTTTGTTTATAAGTTAAATACTAAAAACAACCCATATATGTAGCTATGTAAGTACGGCACTTATAGACAATGGGATCTTTCACAGTCATTTAAAAAGAATGATATGGGGCTCCTGGGTGGCTCAGTTGGTTAAGTGTCTGAGTCTTCATTTCAGCTCAGGTAATATTCTCACAGTTGATGGGATCAAGCCCCGCATCAGGTTCTGTGCTGACAGCACGGTGCCTGCTTGGGATTTTCTCTTTCCCTCTCTCTCTCTGCTCCTGCTCCCAAAATACCCCCCCCAAAAAAAAACCTTTAAGAAGAATGATATGAACCTATGTTCATCAGCATGGAAGGTTTCCCTTATATACTGTTGTAAAGATAAAAAGCAGCATTTATAGTATGAATCTTATTTATATAAAATTGTACATGTACTTATACACAGAGATAAATGGAATGATGTTCAACAAAATAATAAAAGTGGTTACCTCTGGATAGGTGAGACTTAAGATTTGATTCACTTTCTTTTTAAAAAATTAAAAATCCCACGTAGGGGGCTCCTGGGTGGCTCAGTCAGTTGAGTGTCCAACTCTGGATTTAGGCTCAGGTCATGATCCCAGGGTTGCGGGACTGAGCCACATTGTGATTCTCTCTCTCTCTTCCCCTCTCCTCTGCTTGCACACAGGCTCTCTCTCTCTCTCTCTCTCTCTCTCTCTCTCTCTCTCAAAAACATAAATGAGATATTTACAAAATACTTTAAAATTTGGGGTAAATTAAGATTACAGAAAAGTTGCAAAGATAGTAGAGAATTCCCAAATGTCCTTCACCCAGTTTTCTCTAATGTTTACATGTTATACAAACTATGATACATTTGTGAACATTAAGAAGGTAACACTGGGATATTACAATTAACTAAACTACAGACTTTATTGAGATTTCACTATTCTTTTTTCCACTAATGTGCTTCTCTGTTCCAGGATTGTGTCCAGGATTCCACATCGCATTTGGTCATCATCATGTCTTCTTGGTCTCTTCCAGTCTGTGATAGCCTTTTCTTGCTTTTCATGACCTTGATAGTTTTAAGAGTTCTGCTCACTGTTTCAGATTCTGTGCCTCCCTCTCTCTCTGACCCTCCCCTGCTCACACTGTCTTTCTCTCTGAAATAAATAAAATGTTAAAAAAAAAAAAAGAGTTCTGCTCAGATATTTTGTATATTACTCTTCAATTTGGGTTTCTCTGATGTTTCCCCCATGATTACAGAGTTGTGGGTTTTTGGAAGGATACTACAGAGATGAATGTCCCCATCACATCATTTCAGGGGACATGTGGTATCAATATGACATCACTGCTGATGTTTATCTTGATCAGTTCATTAAGGTGATGTCTGCCAGTTACTGTTTTTCCCTTTCCACATTCTATTCTTTGGAAGGAAATCACTACCTTTAGCCCTCACTCAGGCGGAGAGGAATTAAGCTTAACCTCCAAGTGACAATTATATACATGTATTATATAGACTTCTTCTGTAGACAGGATTTGTCCCTTCTCCCCTATTTATTCATTCAGTCATTTATTTATATCTGCATGAATATATGTATACTTATTTGGTACTTTGGGTTATACTCTAATACTATTTTGTTGCTCAAATGTTTCCAGTTTTGCACATTGCGAGGTCTTTCAGGTTAGTTCCTCTGCACTTTTAACTGCCCTCATCCTTTTGTTTGCTTTTAGCCACTTTCTTTCCATATTTGGGGGCCATTGTGTGAGTTTTCTACCTTAGTGTTATCTTCATGATTAAAAAAATATCGATTATTTTCACTTAAAATTGGGGAAAAAAGATATGACCCCTACTTTGGTATTCTACCAACGAATTTCTGCTAGATTTTCAAGTGCTTGGTAAGGCAAATAAGAGAGCAAAGTACAATTCCTTGCAGAAATTGCACTGCAGTGGGTGTTTGTAAATATATGTAAAATGATAGAAAATGGAATGGACTTTAATAGTTTTCAAGTGTTTGGGTGTCAGTTTCATTTCAAGAAATTTCCAGGACAGAGGTTTCCACTTAATCATTCAGCCACTAGTTGCACACCTGTGGCAGACACTGGAAAGACAAAAATAAAAAAGGGGAGAAAGGGCATGAGTTAGGAGGCCAGATTTCGGGAGGGATATAACAGTAAGTATGCTTTTGAGTCAGAAACTCTTCTGTACCATATCATTAGCCTAGGGTAGTGTTAGACTTTGAGGACAGAGATAAAACAATACTTATACACTTGAGAAGTGGTGGAGGTTGTGGTCAAGGGGACAGGCCAGAAGACATAATGTCCAATCAAGGTGTGGAAATGCTCTGGGAGGAGGCTGTAATATTCGCAACAGCAAACACTTATTATGAACCAGGTGCTCTTCTGAACTTTACTGCTATTCTAGCTGCTGTCATTATCGTAGTGCAGAACCGAGGCACAGAGTTTACATAACGTCCCCAAAGCCTACCCAACTGGGAAGGAGCTGAGACTGGACCCAACTCTGGCTACCCATAAACGAGGTGACATTTGAAAGAGAAAGTGCCTAACTGAAAATACTACCTGGTTCTAACACCGCATTCCCTCGCATTTTCCCCTTTTTGTTTAAAAGCATATTGTTTCAACTTAACTGAGGAACAAGGGGGAGAAGAAGGGGGGAAATGGTGGGGGAATGGGAGAGAGGCAAACCATGAGAGACTCTTGAATGCTGACAAAAACTGAGGACTGATGGATGTGGGGGGGAGGGGGGATGGGCATGGAGGAGGGCACTTTGGGGATGAGCACTGGGTGTTATGCGGAAACTAATTTGACAATAAACTATTTGTAAAAAAAAAAAAAAAGCATATTGTTTCTACCACATTTCAGCACCAAGCGTACAAGCGACCAACGACGCGCGGCAGATGCGGGAGACTGCCACAGACTGAAGTAGCGCCTAGTCCCCACCCCCCGCCCCGCCCCGCCCCGCCCCCGGGCGCTCAGCGGGGCACCTCGGACAACCCCAGTCGTGGATGCCGTAGACGCTATTTCGGATTCTGACTTCCGAATTCCGGGAAGGACCTCTTCCGGCGGCACCGGAAGTTCGACGGGGACAGTTTCGGGGACGGACCGTCGGACTGCAGTCCGGATCCGCAAGGTGATCGCCGCCTTACTCAGAATCCGGACGCCCCCGACCTAATGTAGCAGCGAAGTGAGTGGGCTTCCTTGGCCGGGTCGTCCCCGGGGGCGTGTATTATTTGCCCTGAAGTGTCCGCGGCACCGATCGTAAACACAGAGCAATCGGAAGCCTTTCCGCGTTTCATTTAATCCCTGGTGACCCCGCCTGAGGTTTAGCGAAAGCGTTATTCGTCCAGAAGCGGCCGGCTGCCTCCCCCTCCTCGCGCGTTCTGCTTGCCCTGGGCCCAAGGTTTTCCAGGCCCGGTTCCAGGCGAAGCCACCCCAGAGCCGTCATTCTTCTACAATGACTTCTTTTTACCTTTCAGATAAGTTCCAAGGCCGACGGCTATTACATTCAGACGTTTCCACCAACGCACCAACATCTCTTTTCAGATTCCATGACAAGGATATCCTAGCTGCGAAAGAACACCGAATTGGGAGTCAGACTGACAGCCTGGGTTCTAGGCCTGACTGTCATTAACTGGTGGTATGACATTTGAGAAATCTTTTTGACCTCTCTGGACTCCCCATTTTTCCTTTTCTATAAAATGAGGAGCGTGGAATAAGTAGTAAGTAGGGTACCTTTCAGTTTTCACGCCTGGATTATTGCCACCAGTGTGTTTTCTAATTCCTGCCTCAGTTAGCTCTCTGTTTTTTGGTTAATCTCCGTGTAGGGCCTTTCTTCCCATTCCATCAATCTATGCCCTTGTCACGCCTGGGTTTAGATTCATTTTGAAAATGTTTCCTAAAGGAATCCCTTCTTAAATAAAAAAAAATTTTTTTAAATGTTTATTTCTGAGAGAGAGAGAGAGAGAGAGAGACAGCATGAGCAGGGGAGGGTCAGAGAGAGAGGGAGACACGGAATCTGAAACAGGCTCCAGGCTCCGAGCTAGCTGTCAGTACAGAGCCCGATGCAGGGTTCGAACCCATGAACCGCGAGGTCATGACCTGAGCCAAAGTCGGACGCTTAACCGACTGAGCCACCCGGGTACCCCTAAAATTTTTAAATGTGCCATTCTTTTTTTTTTTCTTAATTTTTTTTTTATAGTTTATTTATTTTTGAGACAGAGAGAGACAGAGCATGAGGGGCAGAGAGAGAGGAAGACACAGAATCTGAAACAGGCTCCAGGCTCTGAGTTGTCAGCACAGAACCTGATGCAGGGCTAGAACCCATGATCCATGAGATCTGACCTGAGCCGAAGTCGGACGCCCAACCAACTGAGCCACCCAGGCGCCCCTAAGTGTGCCATTCTTGAGGTGTTTAATGTGCCTGAGAAACATTATATTGGAAGAGTAAACTCTGAAGGAAGGGACGCTGGTTTATTAAACTTTGAATCAACATCCTCATATACAATGTCTGAAAGATGGTACTCGGGAAATGTTTGCTTAGGAGAAAATGTACACGACACATTATTTTAGTTGCTTCTTTCCTCAAAAATTGTAAAGCAACGCTGTAGAAATGCAGCCCTGAGAGCGGAAAGAATAGAAAATTCAAATAGAAAAGTAATTAAACTACCGACTTCTGAATTACACTAATTGAGTTCTGTTGCAGTTTTTTCTCAAGTCTTCTTTCATTCCAAGAATAATATTCAAAAAGCATTATTCAATAGATATTTAAGAAGTGTCTTCTACCCACTCTAAAGCATCTTTTTTTGGGGGAGGGGATGATAGGAAGAGGGAAAAATGGTGAGGGTTGAAAGAAGACAGTTTGAGGTAGAGAGACGACATGCAAAGGTTCAAAATTAGATGACAAGCCATTGAAGATTACCGGTGGCGGAGTGTCAGAATAACAGAAGCTTGGAGATAGGAGTGAGGGGTTATAAGGGTGTAAACAATGAAGTAAGAGGTTAGCAGAGGGCAGATAACGAGTCCTTACATAGCATGTATTGAAGTTGCACATGAAGTGGATAATGGCCTGCTACTGGAAGATGTTCAGCAAAGAGCTGATGAGTTCAAATTTGCATTTTAGAAAAATCAGTCTTGTTGTGATTTTGTTAGGTGATGTTTCAAGAATGAGAAAAAATCCCTTTATAAGTTGTATTTCAGTTTTATCAGAGTAGAGACATTAACAATAATGGTGGTTAACATCTAGAGAGAGTAGCTACTGTGGAATTCCACCTATTAGACTGGATTCTTTCAGAGCAGAAGCCCCGCTTTGCTCATTGTTGGAAGTCTAACGCAGTGTTTTCATGTAGTAGATTTCCAATTAATACTTGCTAACTTGACTTTAATATTAACCCAAGTACTATTTTAAAACTTTTTCCAGGGGAAACATGAACCAGAAGATACTGAAATTGGAGAACTTGATACGATTTCACACTGTCCTTAGGCAGCTGCACAGCCTGGGTCAAAGAAGAATGTTAGCACAGTGGAGTCCTGTGTTTTCATCTGCCTACCCAGTGTGGACAGCTCAGCTCTGCATCCGGCCCTGGCAAACAGACCCACTCGTTGGGGTGGCTTTATCTCAATATAGGCTTCTAGTAACAAAGAAGGTAGTTACAGATTTCCATTAGTTACTGTATTATTTGATCTGAAGTAAAAGTTCCTATAGCCTTGAGTAGAAATTTATTTTGACTTTTTTGTCTTTATTCCTTAATGCTACACTTGAGGCAGTAAGTCTTTGAGAAGAAAGGAAGTTTTAATTTCTTGTTCAGTAGTGTGGATGAATTTGATTACTTGGAAATTAGTATATTATAGTGAATTAAAGATGCAGGATTTTAAATTTTAGTCTAAGATTTAACTACTTATGGGAGTGTTAGTTGGTAGAAATAGAAACTGTTATTGTGGTAGATATGCCAGAATAAATCTACATTGTCACTTAAAGTTTTTTCCTCCTTCTGTTACATTTTGGATTTTTAATAGGGGGAAAAAGCACAGAGATCTCCGTTATCTTCATCAAAATCCAAAAAGGAAGTGGAGGTATGGATTGGAATGACTGTTGAGGAACTGGCCAGAGCAATGGAAAAAGACATAGGTGGGTTCTTTATAAGGAAAAATATGGGCACATGGGATACCTGGTGTCTTATTTTCATTGAGACAAAGGCATTCAAAGATGAAAATTAGACTGATGGTTTAAAAAGATATAAAATCATTCTACTAGTTTGCACTTTAGGTCACAAACTCTAATTAGTTTCTTCTGTTTTTGCCAAAAATAGATCTCTAAGATTTTGCTTTTAATAAAAGTAGAAAAGATTTTATCTGAACTAAGCCTTCTTTTTTAGAAATTCTGTAGGCTTTTCAGTTTCTTTCCTTATTTTAAGAAGAGAGTGCATGAACGAGGGAGGTATAGAAAGAGAGAGGGGAGAGAGAATCCCAAGCAGACGCCATGCTGTCAGCACTGCGCGGGGCTCAATCTCACGGACTTTCAGTTCATATCCTGAGCCCAGCTCAAGAGTTGGTCACTTACCTGACTGAGCACTCAGGTGTCTCAAACTATTTAGATGAATTAATTAAAAAAAAATTTTTTTAATGTTTTTTTTTTTTGAGACCGAGAGAAAGCACGAGCTGGGGAGGGGAGGAGAGAGAGGGAGACAGGAACTGAAGGAGGCTGCACTGACAGCACAGAGCCTGACAGCGGAGCTTGAACTCACAAGCCGAGAGATCATGACCCGAGCTGAAGTCAGAAGTTTAGCCAACTGAGCCATCCATGTGCCCTCAGTTTTTTTTCTTTTTTTTTTTTCTGAGAGAAAGAGCGTACGCACGCCTACGAGTCAGGGAAGGGCAGAGACAGAGGTGGGGGAGAGAGAGAATCTTAAGGAGGCTCATGCTGACCACAGAACAAGTCCAAAGAGTATTTTTGGACTGAAGTACTCTATACTTACTATCCTTTTGTTGTCTATAATTTTCTGATTTTCTTTTTCTTTTTTTTTTAATTGTTTATTTTTGAGAGAGAGAGAGAGAGAGAGAGAGAGAGAGACAGAGCCAGAGTGGGGGAGGGCCAGAGAGAGTGGGAGACACAGAATCTGAAGCTGAGCTCTCAGCACAGAGCCCGAAGCAAGGCTCAAACCCATGAGTTGTGAGATCATGACCTGAGATCATGACCTGAGGCAAAGTCAGTCACTTAACCAACTGAGCCACCAAGCACCCCTGATTTTCTCTTTTCACTCATTGTGAAAATGTCTGTAGTGCCAGCAGAAAAATATTTGTAGTAGTAAATTTTTTTTAAAGTTTGTTTATTTTGAGAGAGAATGGAAGAGAGAGAATTCCAAGCAGGCCCTGCACTGGCAGTGCACAAAGTTGTGAACCGTGAAATCAGGACCTGAGCCAAAAGAAGAGCTGGGCGCTTAACTGACTGAACACCCAGGTGCCCCTGTAGTAATAACTTCTGATGATACTGTTTTTGTTTGTAAATGTGTAGCATCATTGTCATTGTTTTTATTCCTTCATTGCACTCTTGTATTTATTATCAACTTAAGATTATTGGAACACAATTTGAGTTTTCATTATAAACTGACAATAAAATTCAGTAAATAAGAAATAGCCATTATTGTAGTGAAAAAAATGACAAGTGAAGCAGACTCTTGGCAAAAAGAAAAACAATTAATAATAATAATAACTCATTATTGAGCTATTACCATGTACCAGTACTTTATATATATTAACTCATATAATTCTCATACTGCACAAGAGGTAGTTTTAATTATTATCCCCATTTGTAGGTTGAGAAACTGAGGCATGGAGAGAATGAATAATTGCCACAGTTAGTATGTGGTAGAGTAGAGTTTGAACTCAGGGAGTATGGCTACAGAGATCATGCTCTTATTCACAGACCAAATTATCTCAGGAACTGTTGTTTTGTAAATTAGAGCAGAGCTGAACTTTAATCCGTTTCCAGCTTAAAAGTGCTGCCAGTCTTTGTACATGTGCATCCTCACAAAGAATAGAAAATTTGCCCAGCCTTGCATTTTTATAACTTTGCAGTTCCGTTATATAATCATTTTATTAGAAAACTTTAAGAGACAAATAGATGTGGCTGTATCATTAACATTTTTTCCAAGGAAAACTATATTGGTACGATTTTATAGGTAATGTTGATAATCTACTTGATTTTTAAAACTTTTTTTGTTGGCAGTTTTCATACATATATGAAAGCCGAGAGAATGGAGTATAAGCATAATGTATGCAGAAGCAGTGACGATTACTAACATATCATTTAATCTGTAAATATTTCTGTATTTATCACTAAAAGATGAGGATTCTGTTTTTTAAACATTCCCCTGCCCACACTCCCATCACTGTAATAATTCCTCTCTATTACCAAATAAATGGTATAATTGAAATACACATTTAATCCTACAAATCATTGTTCTAGACCCAAAGCTGATATGCCATGATTTAAATAAAAGTTCTCTGTTTGAAGCTTACTTAATATTATATTCACTTCTCATTTGAATTAAAGACGGTGAATATTTTAAACTATTAAATTAGCAATGTGAGTAGATTTTTTTTCCCCCCCTTGCATCAATTAAAATAACTTAGAATGTAATATCTGTGGTTGAAATGCTTTGGGTGCTTTTCTATTTGTAAATATTTAATCTTAGATAAAGATAAAATAATATGTTAATACTAAATGCATTTAATATAGAGGGAAAGAGATTATTTTTGTATAAGCTAACTTTCAAAAGTTTAGGATATCAGAGGCACCTGGGTGGTTTGGTTGGTTAAGTGTCTGACTTTTGATTTTGCCTCAAGTCATGAGTGTCCTGAGATTGATCCCTGCCTAGGGCTTTGTGCTGACAGTGCAGAGCCTTCTTGGAATTCTCCCTCTCCCTCTCTATTACTCTCCCCTGCTCGTGTGCATGCACACTTACTCACTCGCACGCTCAAAATAAAGAAATAAAAAACATTAAAAAAAAAGTTTAGGATATCATTTGGAAAATTGTAGTTACTGGTTTATTAGGGATTTTAGCATTATTAGAAACAGAATTGTACTCGTTATAATTTATTATGTTTAGGGTTTTATTGTTCTCTGAGATATCCACATAGAAAATTTGCATTGTATGATTTTTTTAAAGTTTTATTTATTTCAGTAATCTCTACACCCCATGTGGGGCTTGAACTCATGACCCCGAGATCAAGAGTTGTATACTCTTCTGACTGAGCCAGCCAGGCGCCCCTGTACCATTCTTTTAAAATCTATTTTCTTGGGAAAGGATGTTGTGGGGATTATATATAGGAAAGGGTTTCTTGGCATTATTACAGAGTAGGATCGGTCATATGTGGAGCTGGCTTGCACCAACTTTTGAGGCAGTTGCTAATTTATAAGGAAGTATGTGCGCTTCCATTAAAAAAATTAGATCATAAAGGTAATAAATACTCATTAAACCCCTTCACTCTTGGGGCACCTGGATGGCTCAGTTGGTTGAGCATCTGACTCTTGATTGTGGCTCAGGTTTGTGAGATTGAGCCCCATGTTTATGAGATTGAGCAACGTAGGGCTCTGTGCTGACAGCTTAGAGCCTGCGTGGGATTCTCTCCCTCTCTCTTTCTCTCTCTCTCTTTCTCTTTCTCTTTCTCTGTTCCTCCCCTCCTCTCAAAATATGTAAATAAACTTGAAAAAGAATAACTTCTCTTTTCTTATTTTACTGGATTTTGCTGTCTTCTATGTTTTTGAGGTGATTTGTGCTGATGTACATATATGGTGGAAATTCTGTATAATGGTATGCTACTGCACGTCTTTTTACATCTCTGTGTTCAGTGACTTCATATTGATAGCTGAAATCAACCATCATGGGAGTATTTGCCCTGTGGAAATTAGGAAATGCTATAATAATCAGGGATTTTTTTTTTTTAAGAGAGTCTTCTGAGTAAACATTTACCTGCACACTACTGAATAGGATATTCTTTTAGTATAATGTTTTTATTTCATATATGTCTCTCAAAATATATATTTAAAATGTTTTAGTGTATATTTATTTTTGAGAAAGAGAGACAGACAGACAGGCATGAGTGGGGAATGGGCAGAGAGAGAGGGAGATGCAGAATCTGCAGCCCAATGTGGGGCTCGCACTCAAGAGGTGTGAGATCATGACCTGAAGTCAGATGCTTACTTGACTGAGCCACCCAGGTGCCCCTCAAAATATATATTTAAAGGGTGATTGAAAGTCTAGAAACATAAAACTATTTATTTTGTTAACAGATACATTCATTTATTTTCCACAGGGAAATATGACTGAAATGGAAACAAAGTACACTGTATAACGTAGAATACCAAGTAAATCTTTTTCTTATATTTCAAGACCTTTGGAGACCCTCAATAAATAAATAAATAAATAATTTTGTGTGTGTGTGTGTGTGTGTGTGTGTGTGTGTGTACATAACAGTTGATCCTCGTTATTTGGGGATTTTGTATTGGTGGATTCTCTAAAATGTATTTATAGCCCCCAAATCAGTGTTCACAATGCTTTTGCAGTCATTCCTGGACATGTGTAGAGCAGTGAAAAATCTCAGTTGCCCAATCACACATTCCTAGCTGCGGTTCAACAAGGCAACATTGTGCCTTCTTGCTTTAGCTCTCATGCTGTAAACAGGTGTCGTTTTGTGGCTTATTTCATGCCACATTTTTACATTTTTATGCTTTTCGTTGATTTGCCTGATTAAAATGGCTCCTAAGCATAGTGATGAAGTGCTGTTTAGTGTTACTAACTGCAAGAAGGCTGTAGTGTGTTTCACAGGGAAAATACATGTGTTAGATAAGCTTTGTTCATGCACTGTTTTCAGTGCTTTTGGCTGTGCATTCAGTGTTAATGAGTCAACAGTACATATTAAGTAAGGTTTCTTAAAACAGAAACACATAAAAGAAGGTATGTATCGATCGGCTAATGAAGATGTGACCAGGGGTTGAAGGAACCTACTAAGCCTATATTTTCCCTTGGAGTGATGGTTTAGTAATTACTAATTCAGTATTCATGGCGAGTTTATAGAACAGAACCGCTGCAAATAATGAGAATCAACTATATATACATACACATTTGTTTAGGCATGACATATGTTACTACAAGTTTTCAAAGAACTGCTCAATATTAAATGTGTACAACATGCCTTGTAATGTTTTATTGGTGGCTCAGATCGTTCATTAGGTACATAAATACTGAAATATTTATGAATATGCAGAAATGTTAATATAAGTGAATCATATCTTAAAGATTATTTTCAGCTTGTTTGTGGTTAACATTAGAGGAACAGCTTACATAGTTATTCCTCTCATTGAGTGTACTGTTTATGTTGAGCTTTATTAATAGAGGTCACTTTTGTGAACGTGTAATTCATGATCCTAAAAGATGTTTTGTGTCCCACCCAGATTGTGTGTATGAAGCTTTAATGAACACTGCTATTGACATAGATTCACTAGAAGCACACTCACATTTAGATGAAGTCTGGATCAAAGAAGTGATAAAGAAGACGGGGATGAAATTAAAATGGAGCAAATTAAAACAGGACAAAGTCAGAGAAAATAAAGATGCTGTAAGAAGGTAAAACTTAAATGTATACTGGAGAAAGGAGACCACTGGGTTTATTTACACTTTATATTGGAAAGATTTGCCTTAAAAAATTTTTTTTTGCAATTAAAATGATGTGGGAGTATTGATTATACTTCAAAGTGTCATAGTGTTTAAGTATATTCGGGTTATAAGACTCTTAAGGGTTATTTTTTTTAGTTTGCTGAGTGTATATATTGATTCTGAATTAAAAATTTTTATTCCCTTTTTGTTGTTTTGAAGATGCCAACTGTACATGGGCAGTCATTATATGTTTTGTCATAGGTTATTGTATGTGTGGAACGGGAAGATAATTATAGCTAATCAAAACTGAATGTTGGGTTTTATTGTTAGAGGTAGTTGACAGAGATGACTGCAAACCAGTTCATAAGAAATGAAACTCCTTTGCTGTTAATTGTAGGCCTCAGGCAGATCCAGCTTTATTAACCCCAAGGTCCCCAGTTGTTACTGTAATGGGCCATGTTGATCATGGGAAAACGACGTTACTTGACAAACTGCGAAAAACTCAAGTGGCAGCAATGGAAGCTGGAGGCATCACTCAGCACATTGGTGCCTTTCTTGGTATGACACAAATTACCTTACAATGTGCTTGGGAATCCCACATACTGCTTTCTTAAACCAAGTGTCCTAGCATGAGATATGCAAATTCAAAGTAAAAGGGAAGTGTAAAGGGTATTGGTCTGATGAAATATAGAGCCAGGTGGTTAATAAAGCTTATTTTGTACCATTCTATAAGAAGAAAATTATATTACTTTTTTTATTCTGGCTCATTCTTAGTTTGGTTTAATGAGCTTCAAAGTCTTCAATGCCTGGTTACACTAATGTTGCTAATAATAATTAAGTAACAGCTGCCATTACTGAGCACCTAGCATGTGCCCAGCACTGTGGTGTGTGGTGTGGTGAGCGCCTTATTTATATGCTTTATCTTCACAACAACATCACGAGGTAGGTATTAATACCCCTATTTACAGATAAGGAGGCTGAGGCTTGGATGGGTTATTTGTTCAAGACCTACAGCTAATAAGTGGCAATGCCAGGATTTACACCCAAGGCTGGGTTTGGGCTCAAATCCTGAGTTACTAACCATGTACTAAATTGCCTTTTGCTTAAGGCAAGTTGTACAGCTGATGTTTGCTAAGGAAGGAGAGACTGCCTGTATAACTATCAGTCTGTTCTCTCTCCAGAAGAGGTACCAGTTGGTACATTTATGAAAATATATTCTAAGAATATAAAGAGTTCTACTTTGAAATTATAACATGAAAAGAAACACTAAAGTCTTCACTGCTTTGTTATTATTTTTCATTGTGAAATGATGATTTGTATTGTTCACAATTAAGATTAATGGGAGGAATAAATTATTTTAAAGAATTATTGATTCTATTTGATAATTTCACATATACTCCTTTGTATTAAGAAAGTGCATATTTGAGGGGCGCCTGGTGGATTAGTCGATTAAGCGTCCGACTTTCGCTTAAGTCATGATCTCGTGGTTTGTGGGTTCGAGCCCTGCATCGGGCTCTGTGCTGACAGCCAGCTCAGAGCCTGGAACCTGTTTCAGAGTCTGTGTCTCCCTCTCTCTCTGACCCTCCCCTGCTCACACTGTCTCTCTCTCTCTCTCCTAGAAATAAATAAAACAATATTTAAAAAAAAAGTGCATATTTGAGTCCTTAGTGTTTTTGAATTTCTGTTTCCACAGTATCTATGCCTTCTGGGGAAAAGATAACCTTTCTTGATACTCCAGGACATGCTGCTTTCTCAGCAATGAGAGCCAGAGGTGCTCAGGTCACTGACATTGTCATATTGGTTGTAGCTGCAGATGACGGAGTGATGAAACAAACTGTAGAATCTATTAAGCATGCCAAAGATGCTCAAGGTACTGTGTGACTGGTTATGTGTATCAGGAAAGCAGTTGCTTTTTTTTTTTTTTTTTTAAAGAGATAATGCTAGTGACAAGAAATCACTGTTCTGGGGCCCTTTACATGTAGCTCATTTAATCTACCTGGCAATCCCAGGATTATTATACCTGTTTACACATACAGCTCAAAGACGATTGAATTGTTTTCCCGGAGATGTAACTACTAAAAGACTGTAGCAGGATTCAGATGGGGACCTGTGACCATAAATACAGTCCTTCTAATACTGTTTACTTAGTTGGCATGGTGTGAAACTTTAGTAGTGTAAAATGACTTCTTAAAAACTTTTTTGTTATGGAAACTTTAAGTAATTACAATAGTAAGAATAGAATAATAAACTCCTGTGTATCCACCACCTAAATACATTAGGAGTTGCAGTGTGGTGATATTCTAATTTTGTTATTCCTTGTTCATTAATTATCTGGAATTCTTCTTTAAAGAGAAACTTTTCCTTCATATGCTTTATATAAATTCTTATTTGGTCAAAGGTATAAAATTGAAACTTTTAGAAAATCATTTCTCCACTAAGAAACTATGGTAATAGCCACCCCCTCTATGCACACATACTTTGTTCATTCATTCTTCTGATATGACCCTACACTCACTGAGAAAATACTCCTGTTTGAGAAAATGTACCTGATGCAGTGCATCATATTCCCCTCTGTTGGCAAGAGAAAAAAGTTTGAGAATTACTATCTAGGCCAGCTCTTTACTTAAAACATGAAAACTAAGAACCAGAGAATGGCAGGAACTACCTCCAGTTACAGTTAATTTAAACATGTCCGCATTAGAAATCTGGTGTTTTAGCTTCCAGTGTTACTCTCTTTTCTTTTTTAATTCCTCAAAACTGCCTTTATGGAATGTACTAAGTTCTTAATGATTCTAGGGAATATAACAAAAAGAAGAGAGTGATAAATTTGCCAGGGATCCCATAACAAAGCAGTTGGTTGAGATAGGATAAATTTCTTACGTCCTGCTTTCTGTTCCTGTTCTCTTGTCCCTTAAGTTCCAGCTCATCCATATGGAATGTACTTTATCATAATAGTAGGTTGTGGATAACTTTTTTGTTTCTGTTTTCAATTTCTCTTCCTTTGATACCTGAAAAAATTGTAGCACAGTTGGTGAAATCCAACCAGAGAATGATCTCCTGGCATTTTATGTGATTTCTCTAACGAGGGACAAGTGGATTATAAGATTATTTGGTTCATTTATTAAGTAAACATTTATTAAAAATCTATGTGTCAGTTACTAAAGTGTATATGATTAAAGAATTGCTGTAAATCCTGAAAGAAAGTTTGCAATAATGCTACTTCATTTCACCCCAGGGTAAGATGTTAGGTTACAATGAGTAATAGCTACTCAAAAGACAAGGCAAGTGATCTAGTGGTGTTAGAATTGAGTTAGAATCTTTTCTTTACTTTTTTTTTCCCTGCAGATTGTCTACAGTGTAGTTGCTGATCTTGCTTTCAGGTTTAAATATAGGTCTTTCTCTACCTAAAAATTTTGTTTGTTTGTTTTTTATCAACTTAAGTGTCTATCCTTAATTCAGAATCTGCTTATAGTTACAGTTTTGACATCTCACATCCAGAGTCCTCTTTTGTGTGCAGAAAGCAGATGAGGGGTTCCATAGCAGATCTTTTAGGTGTTTCTTTTAGTTTAGTACATCTACTCAGTAAAGAGATAGCCAGAAAAGGTTGGTGTCTTTCATTGTGAATACCTGGAATTGAAGGTGTCGTCATTTGCACTCTTTTTAACTCTTTTTTCAGTTCCTATTGTCGTTGCTATAAACAAATGTGACAAAACTGAGGCTGATCCTGAAAAAGTGAAAAAAGAATTGCTAGCTCATGATGTGGTGTGTGAGGATTATGGAGGTGACGTTCAGGCAGTACACATCTCTGCACTCACGGTAAGTGCAGGTGCCTCAGAGAGGGTGTGTTCAGATGGGACTGCTCTTCATAATGCACATAGTGCGTTATTAACCATCTGGACATATATAATTTCTGGGTTTTTAAATTTTAATTAATTAATTAATTAATTAATTATTGAGACAGAGCACAAGTAGGGGAGGGGCACAGAGAGAGGGAGACACAGAATCAGAAGCAGGCTTCAGGCTCTGAGCTGTCACCTGAGCTGAAGTCAAACACTTAGCTGACTGAGCCACCCAGACACCCCTATTTCTGTTGTTTAAAAACCCTCTGTGTACTAGGCAAGGCTAGCATCATTATCTTGGTTTGGCAAATTAGAAATTACACTTTTTGGGGTGCCTGGGTGGTTTAATCGGTTAGGTGTCCGGCATTGGCTCAGGTCATTATCTCACAGTTTCGTGAGTTCAAGCCTTGCATTCAGCTCTCCTCTGATAGTCCGGAGCCTGCTTCGGAACCTTTCTGTCCCTCTCTCTCTGCACCCTCCTCCCTGCCCCCATCAAAAATAAATAGACATTAAAAAAAAAAGAAAAAAAGAAATTAGGTTTTCTTGAGGTCAGTCATCAGTTCAGGGTTATATACAGCTGAACAGTGGGGGATCAAGTCCAGACCCAGTGCTTTTCTTCTTTTTTTTTTTTAAATCTTTTCTTTTCTTATGTTTTATTTTTTATATTTTTGAGAGACAAAGGGCAAGCAGGGGAGGGACAGAGAGATGGAGACAGAATCTGAAGCGGGCTCTAGGCTCTGAACTGTCAGCACAGAGCCTGATGGGGATGGGTAAGCAAAGCATTGTTTTGTATTGTTTACACTTGTCTCCATTGTTTTATACTCTGACAACTGTGCAGTCTCTTAGCTGACAGAGAGTGGAAAGTCCCTTGCCCATCGTTCCAGTGCCATCGCCAGTTAATCAGCTGTGTGATCTTGGAGCCCTAGAAAGCATAGTAACCATAGGTCGTTAAAGGTGAGAGAATCATCTAATCTAGCTTCCTCATTTTACAATTGAGGAAAGGAGATCCAGGGAGGTGAAGTGATTCTTATGGTTGCACAGCTGGGTAATTACAGAGTGTATCTTAGACCCTGGGTCTAGTCCATACTTTTTCTTCTTATATATTTAATAGGAGTAAGTAATGGTTGATTTACTACTTTTACAGAATTCTTGAGTGGATCAAATGAAATAATAGACGTGAAAGCTTATTCAGTTGGATAGAACTTCAAATGTCAAGTAGCATGGTAAAGAAAGCGAGAGGAAGAAAACACAATGGTAGAGACAGAGGAGAATGCATGAAACATGTTTATGAAAGGGTATTAACAAGCACCACTAGTGACCTTCCTTTTAAGAAAATCACCCTTCTTGGGGTGGCCGTGTGGCCCAGTTGGTTGAACATCGGACTTTGGCTTAGGTCATGATCTCGTGTTTCATGTGTTTGAGCCCTGCATCAGGCTCTGTGATGACTGCTCAGATCCTGGAGCCTGCTTCAGATTTTGTGTCTCCCTCTCTCAATGCTCCTCCCCCACTTGCACACTGTTTCTTTCTCTCTCTCTCTCTCTTTCTCTTTCTCTCTCTGTCAAAAATAAATAAGCATTAAAAAAAAAAAAAAGAAAAGAAAGTCACCATTCTTCCTTGAAAGATAGGTCCCTGGGTCCATTTTCTTGTTTTTCTTTCCTTTGTTTTTTCCTCCCTCCCTCCTTCCCTACTTTCTCCTTCCCTGGCCTCCTTCCTTCTTTCTAACTGGATGATTCAAGCCTTTAATGCTTGAAGAGAAAAGTATAATATAACTGTCTAGGATTATTTAGCTTTCTGACACTGGTATTTACATATACATACAATATTTTATTAATGTATATTAACAGCCTTTTTTGTTGTTAAAGGGCGATAATCTGATGGCTTTGGCAGAGGCAACAATTGCTCTGGCAGAAATGTTAGAATTGAAAGCAGACCCCAATGGTCCAGTAGAAGGAACAGTAATAGAATCTTTCATGGACAAAGGAAGAGGGTAGGACTGTTAAAATGCTTGCTTTTTAATAATTTGTTTCATTGTTTTTGTGACTTGATTATATAACAATGCAGTATTTTTATTGCATATTATTGTTAGACATGAACAATATTTTCACAGCATTTGTTTTGAAAAAGAATTTATTGCATTAGCACACGGAACATAAAAATGCAGTTATCAGGGGCTCCTGGGTGGCTCAGACAGTTAAGCGTTCGACTTCGCCTTAGGTCATGATCTCCTGGTTTGTGAGTTAGAGCCCTGCATCTGGCTCTGTGCTGACAGCTCAGAGCCTGGAGCCTGCTTCAGATTCTGTGTCTTCCTCTCTCTCTGCGCCTCCCCTGCTCGCACTCTTTCTCTCTCAAACATAAATAAACATTTTTTTTTTTAATTTTTTTTAATGTTTTATTTATTTCTAGAAGAGAGAGAGAGACAGCGTGAGCAGGAGAGGGTCAGAGAGAGGAGTCACAGACTCCGAAACAGGCTCCAGGCTCTTAGCTGGCAGTCAGCACAGAGCCCGACGCGGGGCTCGAACCCACGAACTGCGAGATCATGACCTAAGCGAAAGTCGGACGCTTAACCGACTAAGCCACCCAGGCGCCCCTAAATAAACATTTTTTAAAAAATGCAGTTATCAGTAGACCATAGCAACTATCTGTATATATCTCCTAGTTTAAGTAGTTCAGTTTGTTTGGATATTTTTCCCCACTGGCTTAACTGAATTAGTAAATAAAGCCTCATAGACTAACAAATTGGAATGAAATAGCAATTGTTGCACTTCAGGGTTTCTAAATTCTTACCCACTGATATAATATCTAGAAAGATCTTTGGATTATTCTTCTTTTTAATTCTTCTCCCTATCAGCAGGAGGTTTCACTTCTTAACAAATTAGTTCCCGAAAGAAGATTAGGATTCTGTCAGAATACTCAGCTATCTGCATCCTCCACTACCATAAGCTGATAAGAAATGTTTTTTGCTGTTTTTTTTTTTAAAAAGTGTGATGAAAGAAGCATAATATTAAATTTACCATCTTAACCATTTTTAAGTTTAGTAATATTAAGTATTTTCTCATTGTTGTACAGCAGGACTCTAGAACTTTTTAATCTCGTAAAACTGAAACGCTAGGGCACCTGGGTGGCTCACTTGGTTAAGCGTCTGACTTCAGGTCAGCTTAGTGTCTTGCAATCTGTGAACTCAAGCTCTGCGCCAGGCTCTGTGCTGACAGCTGGGAGCCTGGAGTCTGTTTCGGATTCTGTGTCTCCCTCCTTCTCTGCCCCTCCTTTGCTTGCACTTTGTCTCTGTCTCTCAAAAATAAATAAACAGTAAACAAAAGTAAAAAACAAAACATGAGCCCCGCTTTGGGTGAGCCCTGCTTCTCTCCCTCTTTCTCTCTCTCTCTTCTTCCCTCCCTCTCTGTCCTTGTAGGTTTCTCTTTCTCTCTTTCTCTCTCTCTCTCTCTGCCACTTGGTCATTTGCGCCCTTTCTCTCTCAAAGAAAAGAAAACACCAACAAAAAACCACTGAAACTCAATACCCATAAAACACTAATTTCCCCTCCTTCCTCTCCCCAACCCTTGGCAGCTATCTTTGTTTTCTGTTTGTATGATTTTGACTACTTTAGATCCTTCATATGAGTAGAATAATACAGTATTTGTCCTTATTGACTGGCTTATTTCATGTAGCATAATGTCCCCGAGGTAGGTCCATTTCTGTTGCAGCATGTGACAGGGCTTTCCTTCTTTTTTAAGATTTCATAATGTTCAGTTGTATGTATACAGTACATTTTCTTTTCCATTCAGTTGATGGACAATTGGTTTGCTTCTACCTTTTGGCAAGTATGTAGAAATGTTTTTATAGTATGAAAAACTGCTTGAGAAGTAGTGGGATTAACCCTGTGTGTACATAGTATATGTTTAAGTCTCATAAAGATATCTGCTCTACTCAAGAAAGTGCTCTTATTTCCCGATTATGTCATTATAAATATATATATATTTATTTTCATTTTAGACCTGTTACTACAGCTGTAATTCAAAGAGGAACTTTGAGGAAAGGCTCCATTCTGGTTGCTGGAAAGAGTTGGGCAAAAGTACGCTTAATGTTTGATGAGAATGGAAAACCAATCCATGAGGCCTGTCCCAGCACGCCAGTGGGAATTGTAGGCTGGAGAGACCTCCCGTCTGCAGGAGATGAAATTCTTGAAGTAGAATCTGAGGTATATCAAGCTTAATTCCTATGTATTAGATGTGATCAGTGATTTTATATATTTAATTTTTCATTCATTAATAATGTATTGTCAAGTTAGCTAACATACAGTGTATACAGTGTAGTCTTGGCTTCAGGAGACGATTCCTATGATTCATCCCTTATATACAATATCCAATGCTTATCCCAACAAGTGCCCTCCTCAGTGCCTGTCACCCACTTTCCCTTCACCCCCTACTCCCCTACCCCTGTTAACTCTCAGTTTGTTCTCTGTATTTAAGAAAGTCTTACGGTTTGCTTCCCCTATCTGTTTGTAACTTATTTTTCCTTCCTTTGTCCTATGGTCTTCTGTTAAGTTTCTCAAATTCTACACATGAGTGAAGGCATATGGTATCTGTATTTCTCTGACTGACTGATTTCACTTAGCATCATACCCTCCAGTTCCATCCACACTGTTGCAAATAGCAAGGTTTCATTCTTTCTCATTGCCAAGTAGTAGTCCATTATATATATAAACCATATCTTCTTTATCCATTCATCAGTTGATGGACATTTAGGCTCTATCCACAATTTGGCTATTGTGGATAGTGCTGGTATAAACATTGGGGTACATGTGCCCCTATGCATCACACTCCTGTATCCTTTGGATAATTTCCTAGTAGTGCTATTGCTGAGTTGTAGGGTAATTCCATGTTTAATTTTTTGAGAAATCTCCACACTGTTTTCCACAGTGGGGCACCAGTTTGCATTCCCACCACCAGTGCAAGAGGGTTCCCCTTTCTTCACGTCTTCACCAACATCTCTTGTTTCCTGAGTTAATTTTAGCCACTCTGACTGGTGTGAGGTGGTTTCTCAATGTGGTTATGATTTGTATTTCTGATGATGAGTGACATTAAGCATCTTTTCATGTGTCTATTGGCCATCTGGGTGTCTTCTTTTGAGAAGTATCTGTTCATGTCTTCTGCCCATTTTTTCACTGGATTATTTGTTTTTTGGGTGTTGAGTTTAAGTTCTTTATAGATTTTGGATACTAACCCTTTATCCGATAAGTCATTTGCAAATATCTTCTCCCATTCTGTTGGTTGCCTTGTCTTTTCTTTTTTTTCTTTTTTTTTTTTAAATTTTTTTAATGTTTTATTTATTTCTGAGAGAGAGAGAGAAAGACAGCATGAGCAGGGGAGGGTCAGAGAGAGAGGGAGATACAGAATCCGAAGCAGTTTCCAGGCTCTGAGCAAGCTGTCAGCACAGAGCCCGAAGCAGGGCTCAAACCCACAAACCGTGAGATCTTGGCCTGAGCCGAAGTCGGACACTTAACCAACGGAGCCACCCAGACACCCCTGTTGGTTGCCTTTTATTTTGTTGATTATTTCCTTTGCTGTGCAAAAGCTTTTTATCTTGATGAGGTCACAATAGTTGATTTTTGCTTTTATTTCTCTTGCTTTTGGAGACATGTTGAGGAAGTTGCTGCAGCGGAGGTCAAAGAGGTTCCTGCCTCTTTTCTTCTGTAGGATTTTGATGATTTCGTGTCTCACATTCAGGTCTGTCAATCCATTTTGAATTTATTTTTGCGTATGATGTAAGAAAGTGGTCCACTTTCATTCTTCTGCGTGTTGCTGTCCAGTTCTCCCAACACCATTTGCTAAAGAAACTGCCTTTTTTCCATTGGATACTCTTTCCTTGCTTTGTTGAAGATTAGTTGGCCATACATTAGTGGGTCCAATTCTGTATTCTCTATTCTATCCCATTGGTCTATGTGCCTGGTTTTGTGCCAGTACCGTACTATCTTGATGATTACAACTTTGTAGTACAGGCTAAAGTCTGGGATTCTGATGCCTCCAGCTTTGGTTTTCTTTTTCAGCATTACTCTAGCTCTTCAGGGTCTTTTGTAGATCCATACAAATTTTAGAATTGTTTCTTCTAGCTATGAGAATGCTGGTGCTATTTTGATTGGGATTGCACTGAATATGTAGATTGCTTTGGGTAAGTATCGACGTTTTAACAATATTCTTCCAGTCCATGAGCATGGGATATTTTTTCCAATTCTTTGTGTCTTCTTCAGTTTCTTTCATAAGCTTCCTATAGTTTTCAGCATACAGATCTTTTACCTCTTTGTTTTTTTTGTGTTTTTTTTTTTTTTATTTTAAAAAAAATTTTTTTTTAATGTTTTATTTATTTCTAGGAGAGAGAGAGAGACAGCGTGAGTAGGGGAGGGTCAGAGAGAGAGGGAGTCACAGACTGAAACAGGCTCCAGGCTCCAAGCTGGCAGTCAGCACAGAGCCTGACGCGGGGCTCGAACCCACGAACCGCGAGATCATGACCTAAGCGAAAGTCAGACGCTTAACCGACTAAGCCACCCAGGCGCCCCGATCTTTTACCTCTTTGGTTAGGTTTATTCCTAGGTACTCTATGGTTCTTGGTGCAATTGCAAATGGGGTTGATTCCTTGATATCTCTTTCTGTTGCTTCGTTATTGATCTATAGAAATGCAACCTATTTCTGTACATTGGTTTTATATCCTTTGACTTTGCTGAACTCATGTATCAGTTCTGACAGTTTTTTGTTGGAGTCTTTCGGGTTTTCCATGTAAAGTATCATGTCATCTGTGAAAAGTGAAAGCTTGACTTCTTTGCCAGTTTGGTTGCCTTTTATTTCATTTTGTTGTCTGATTGCTGATGCTAGGACTTCCAACACTCTGTTAAACAACAGTGGTCAGGACAGACATCTTTGTTGTATTCCTCATCTCACAGGGAAAGCTCTCAGTTTTTCCCCATAGGGGATGATATTAGCTGTGAACCTTTCATATATGGCTTTTATGATGTTAAGGTATGTTCCTTCTATCCCGACTTTCTTGAGAGTTTTTATTAAGAAAGGATGCTGTAGTTTGTCAAATGCTTTTTCTGCATCTATTGATAGGATCCTGTGGTTCTTATCCTTTTATTAATGTGATATATCACATTGATTTGTGAATATTGAATCAGCCCTGCAGCCCAGGAATAAATCCCACTTGATCATGGTGAATAATTCCTGTAATATAATATTGAATTCGATTTGCTAGTATCTTGTTTAAAATTTTTGCATCCATGTTCATCAGGATGGTGTGTGTTCACATTTTCTATTTCTTCCCATTTGAGTTTTGGTAGTGTGTGAGTATCTAGGAATTTGTCCATTTCTTCCAGATTATCGAGTTTGTTGGCATATAATTTTTATTAATATTCTCTAATAATTCTTTGTATTTCTGTAGTGTTGGTTGTGATCTCTCCTTTTTCGTTTGTGATTTTATCTATTTGGGTCCTCTGTCATCTTTTTGAGAAGTCTGGCTAGGAGTTTATCACTTTCGTTTATTCTTTCAAAATACCAGCTCTTAGATTCCTTAATCTTTTTTTTATATTTTATATTGTTTATTTCTGCTGTAATCCTTATTATTTCTCTTCTTCTGCTTGGGGTTTCTTTGTGTTCTGTTTCTAGTTCCTTGAGTTGTGACGTTACATTCTGTGTTTGGGATTTTTCTTGCTTCTTTTTTTTTTTTTAATTTTTAAATGTTTATTTATTCTTAGAGAGAGAGAGACAGAGTGCGAGCAGGGGCGGGGCAGAGAGAGAGGGAGACACAGTATCTGACTGAAGCAGGCTGCAGGCTCTGAACTGTTAGTACAGAGCCCGACACGGGGCTCAAACCCACAAACCATGAGATCATAACCTGAGCCGAAGTCAGAACTCTTAACCAACTGAGCCACCCAGGTACCCTGGATTTTTCTTGTTTCTTGAGATAGGCCTGGACTGTGATGTATTTTCCTCTTAGGACTGCCTTTGCTTCGTCCCAGAGGGTCTGGACTGTTGTGTTTTGTTTTCATTTGCTTCCATACATTTTTTAATTTCTTCTTTAATTTCCTGGTTGACCCATTCATTTTTTAGTTTTTTTTTTTTTTTTAATTTTTTTAATTTTTTTGAGACAGAGAGAGACAGAGCATGAGCGGGGGAAAGGCAGAGAGAGAGGGAGACACAGGCTCCAGGCTCTGAGCTGCCAGCACAGAACCTGATGCGGGGCTAGAACCCATGAACCACAAGATTATGACCTGAGCCAAAGTTGGATGCTTAACCGACTGAGCTATCCACGCGCCCCAACTAGTATATTCTTTAACCTCCATGTATTTGGAAGCTTTCCTAATTTGTTCTTATGGTTGATTTCAAGTTTCATAGCGTTGTGGTCTGAAAATATGTATGGTATGATCTCAGTCCTTTTATTTTTGTTGAGGGCTGTTTTGTGACCCAGTTTGTGATCTGTTTTGGAGAATGTTCCATGTGCACTTGAGAATAATGTATATTCTGCTGTTTTTGGATGAAAAGTTCTGAATATATCTGTCAAGTCCATCTGGTCCAGGGTATCATTCAAGGCTGTTGTTTCCTTACTGATTTTCTGCCTACATGATCTGTCCATTGCTGTAAGTGGAGTATTAAAGTCACCTACAATTAACAGTATTAATGTCAATAAGTTTGCTTATGTTTGTGATTAATTGATTTATATATTTGGGTGACTTCAAGTTAGGGGCATAAACATTTATAATCATTAGCTCTTCTTGATGGGTAGATCCCTTAATTATGATATAATGGCCTTCTTCATCTCTTCTTACAGTCTTTGTTTTAAAATCTAGTTTGTGTGATAGAAGTATGGCTACCCAGGCTTTCTTTTGACATCTGATAACACGATAGATGGTTCTCCATCCCATCACTCTCAATCTGAAGGTGTCATCAGGTCTAAAATGAATCTCATGTAAGCAGCGTATAGATGGATCTTTTTTTTTTTTATCCATTCTGATACCCTGTGTCTTTTGATTGGGGCATTTAGTCCATTTATATTCAGAGTTATTATTGAAAGATAGGGATTTAGTGTCATTGTGTTATCTGTAGGTTTTGTGCTTGTGGTGTTGTCTCTGATCCTTTGTAGTCTTTGCTGCTTTCTACTCACAGGGTCTCCCTTAGGATCTCCTGCAGGGCTGGTTTAGTGGTCGTGAACGCTTTCAGTTTTTGTTTGTCTGGGAAAGCCTTTATCTCTCCTTCTATTTTGAATGACAGCCTTGCTGGATAAAGGATTCTTGGCTACATGTTTTTCCTATTTAGCACATTGAATATTTCTTGCCACTCCCTTCTGGTCTGCTGTGTTTCAATGGGCAGGTCTGCTACTACCCTTATGTGTCTACACTTGTAGGTTAAGGCCTTTTTGTCCCTAGCTGCTTTCAGAATTCTCTCTTTCATCTTTGTATTTTGTCAGTTTCACTATGATATGTCGTGGGATACAGTGATTTTAAATATTAATCTATAACGTTCTCCCAAATAAGTATATTTGTGTTAACAAATAATTATAGACTGTAAGGGCCTATGAGGGGGCTAATGGTGCCATTTTAGAATTTGGCTATTGAATTTTTTAAAATTTGAGATAATATTTTAAAATTAAATCATCTGTGTATACAAAGCCCCTAAAGTTTTATATGTTTACAATAAACTATAAAAAAATTAAGTTTTATAAGTCTATTAAAATTTATAAAATTAGTGGTTTCATGTAGGAGTTAGGCCAAGCTAAGTTGGGGAAAAACACCGAGCTTTTAATCCATAAGTTACTGGTTTCTATTTAGTTAATAATGCCTGTTTTTTCCCCTGTAAAGCCTAGGGCACGTGAAGTTGTTGACTGGCGGAAGTGTGAGCAAGAACAGGAGAAAAACAAAGAGGATCTGAAAATAATAGAAGAAAAGCGAAAGGAACACCAAGAAGCACATCGGAAAGCCCGTGAGAAATATGGCACTTTGCACTGGAAGGAGAGATCATTTCTAAAATACCAAGAAAAAAAAGAACAAAAACCCTTAAGGACAAAAGAGAAAGAAGAAAGGGATTCAAATGTACTTCCTATAATTATTAAAGGTAACTTTGGAAAGATTTACCTTACAACTCATTTTTAGAATGTATATATATCTCTTCATTCTCACAATTAATTTGGACCATTAAATTTCGGCTAAAATTATTTTGGTATTTTGGGGGAGATTTATTTTATTGATGTGTAATTGATACTTAACATTATGTGAGTTTCAAGTGTACGACATAATGATTTGATATTTGTATATATTGCATAAAGACTACCATAATAAGTCTAATCACCATAGTCACAAAAATTTTTTTCTTGTGATAAGAACTTTTAAAATCTACTCTTTTAGTAACTTTCACATTTGTAATAAAGTATTATTAACTATAGTCACCGTACCGTATATTACATCCCTGTGACTTCTTTATGACAGGAAGGTTGTATCTTTTGCCCTCCTTTTTGCTGATGTCTCACGGGGGGGAGAGGTTTTTTTTTTTTTATGTTTATTTTTTAGAGAGAGAGAGAACACAAGCAGGGGAGGGGCAGAGAAGGGGACAAAGCTTCCCAAGTAGGCTCCGTGCTGACAGCAGAGAGCCTGATGTGGGGCTCAAATTCATGAACCCTGAGATCATGACTCCCTGGAAGAGATTTTAATAAACTTGTTTCTTGATGATTTTGTTGTAAATGTACTTTTGGTTCATTATACTTAATATTAAGTTAAATAGATATTTATAATGCTAAACCTAAATGAAAGTGGTAAATGCCATTCCTATTATGACTTTAAATAGATTTTTGTCATTTTTGTGTCTGTTAATGCCTAACTCATAACATCAGTAATTTCAAACTGTTTTAGGTGATGTTGACGGTTCTGTTGAAGCCATTGTGAACATTATGGATACTTATGATGCTTCACATGAGTGTGAACTTGAATTAGTACATTTTGGTGTGGGTGATGTCAGTGAAAATGATGTTAACCTTGCTGAAACATTTCATGGTAAGAATTCTATTTCCTGTTTGTTTCGCCGTGTTCCCTAGACATACTGTGAACCATTTCCTTCAGTCTTTTGTAGCTTGGCTAGTCAGCCTGCCCTTTTTCCTTTATCAGCATCACCCTTCCTGCTCCAGTGGAGTCCCCGCCATTGAGTCGAATGGGATGTGCAGTATGGCAGACGTAGCTTCACTCAGGGTCCTCGCACTACAACCTTGGGGAACTCTCCCAAGCCCCAGAAGGTTTTTTGATTTTATTTTTGTTTCTTTTTGTTTTTAAAGATAATTACTGCCTTTCCCATTTCCCCGCCCACTCCAAGGTTGGTTCTCTGTATCCTTTATTTACTTTTGAATGCTCCCAGCACTGTAATCCATCTGTTCAGTATTTTACTTCATATTTTACTTTTGTCTACCTGTTTTTTGTTTATTGATAATTAATTTTATAAATCTATCTTTCTTAGATTAAAGGCTATTTTAAGTTTTAATATATGTGCTATGAAGCAGTCAGTTTTTAGCTTTCATTAAATGCCTAGAAGGCAGGGGGACTGGACTGTTTATTAGTTGAACTTACGATAATACAAAAGGTGACTCATGACTCACTTTAACTAAGTCTAATACCTAGCAAGACACCAACATTATATTGATGAATCACTTAGGAAGGAGGTACTTCATGACTGGAGTTATTTAGTTAGTTAGTTAGTTTTTAAATTTTTTAACGTTTTATTTATTTCTAGGAGAGAGAGAGAGACAGCGTGAGCAGGGCAGGGTCAGAGAGAGAGGGAGATACAGACTCTGAAACAGGCTCCAGGCTCTGAGCTGGCAGTCAGCACAGAGCCCGACACGGGGCTCGAACCCACGAACCGCGAGATCATGACCTAAGTGAAAGTCGGACGCTTAACCGACTAAGCCACCCAGGCGCCCCATGACTGGAGTTATTTAGAATTAGATGTTACTTCTTTTACTGAATAGTAGTGCTGGTTAATTTTTTATTTTTACTTATTTTTAATTTAAAAAATTTTAATGTTTTTATTTACTTTTGAGAGAGAGAGCGTATGAGCAGGGGAGGGGCAGAGAAAGAGGGAGACACAGAATCTGAAGCAGGTTCCAAGCTCTGAGCTGTCAGCACAGAGCCCAGTGTGGGGCTTCAATTTGTGAACTACAAGATCATGACCCGAGCCAAAGTTGGATGCTTAACCGACTGAGCCACCCAGGTGCTCCAGTGCTGGTTAATTCAAAGTATTTTCCAGGCATTGACCAGCCTAGCACTGTACTATGTAATGTAGATAATGTGTTGAATGATTTCTTAATGATAAAACTTTCAAGGTGGTTGTGTTTTTCTCTTGATTAACTTGTTTGCTTTCATTTTTATCACTTAGGGCAGGAGTGTTTTGCTTTTTATATACCCTCTATGGTATTTGCAGTTAAATACATTATTTGTTCTTTGGTAAAATGGTCAGCTCCATGAAACTTCTTTCATTTCTTAAATAACTTGTGAACTACCAATTTAGTAACTATTTTTGAGCATCTTTTGGCCAGCTGACCACAAAAAGTTGTAGACAACAGGTTTGTAATTTAGTAATATAATTGTTATTAAAATAATGTACCTTTATTTCAATTCTATTCAATTTTTGTCTTCTTATTTCTCTGGTATAAAAATCAAAGTTTTGTTTAGCATACTGCCTTACACAGTATGGGTACTTTTGTCTCTTAAATTAATGGGTTTAAAATTTATAAAGAAATTTTCCTTGTTGAACAAGCCACGATAGTATTTATAAAATCCTTTAATTTGAAAATTTACTAGTTTTCATGAGAAAAAATTACAGAATTTCTCATCTCCCCTACTTTTAATTTACATAGAAGGAAATAAAACTTTTAAAAAATTTATTTTTTAAATGTTTATTTATTCTTGAGAGAGAGAGACAGAGCATGAGAAGATGAGGGGCAGAGAGAGAGGGAGACACAGAATCTGAAGCAGGCTCCAGGCTCCAAGGTGTCAGCACAGAGCCCAGCGTGGGACTTGAACCCACGAACTAGAAGATCAGGACCTGAGCCAAAGTCAGACACTTAACTGAGCCACCCAGGCGCCCCTAAAACTTTTTTTAAAAAAGTTTGAGAGAGAGAGAGAGAGCACAAGTGAGCAGGGGAGGAGCAGAGAGAGAGAGAGAGAGAGAGAGAGAGAGAGAGAATCCTAAGCAGGCTCTGTGCTGTCAGCATGGAGCCAGACAACGGGGCTCAATTCCACAAGCCAAGAGTCCAACACTTAGCTTAATTAACTGAGCGACTTAGGCTCCCTGAAATGAAATTATTTAGATTTGAGTTTCTGCTTGAAAGAAAAGTCCTTCATACAGTATTTGTGCTACTTTCTTGATTCTGTTTCTACTTGCCAGGTGTCATATATGGCTTCAATGTGAATGCAGGCAGTGTTATCCAGAAGTCTGCTACAAAAAAAGGAGTAAAAATTAAACTTCACAAAATCATTTACCGTCTAATTGAAGATTTGCAGGAGGAACTGAGCAGCAGATTGCCCTGCATTGTGGAGGAGCACCCAATTGGTGAGTGTTCACTAAATATTAAACATTCATATCTTAGGTGCTATAAAGAACCCTTGAAAGCAAAGTTTAGAGGAATTATCGTTCACTGTTGAAATACCTTCAGTGTTCCAATAAATAGCCGGTGTCCTAAGAAAAAAATCACTACTATAGATATATTCAGTATAACTTTGTATGTATTATAAACACCTGCCTCTGCAGCCTGAGAATACCAAGGCAAATAAGGCAGGCAACAAGAACTTGCTCTTACGTTTATACATCAACAACTAATTATAACCCAAATTAGACTGGGCTGGGAGGCATGAAGATTATATATAGTGTTCTGGAAGGAGTCACTGATTTTGTCCTGGAGTTGGCCGAGAAATCCACAATGAGAATCATTAATTTTACATTTAAGTATCGTATATTTAGATATTCTTTCTAGCATATCCCTTGGCCAGATGGAAGCCTAAATTTATTTGAGATGGATTGAATCGTTTTATCTGTTCTTATGGTCCAGAGATTTATTTTATGCTTTTCTGATCTGCTAACCATGGTCATACAGAGATTTGTATGTTCTTACACTAAGGCACAATTTGGAAAACTTTTGGGTCGTACAAGGGTTTCCATCAGCCAAATAACACTAACTCCAGCGAATCGGTATATTATAGTGTATGATACCATGTCATTATTGAAATTTAATTAAAAAGATTTTTTTTAAATGTTTTTATTTCTGAGAGAGGCAGACAGACAGACAGACAGCATGAGCAGGGGTGGGTAGAGAGAAAGGGAGGCACAGAATCTGAAGCAGGCTCCAGGCTCTGAGCTAGCCGTCAGCACGGAGCCCAACGTGGGGCTCAAACCCACGAACCTTGAGATCATGACCTGAGTTGAAGTTGGACGCTTAACCAACTGAGCCACCCAGGTTTTAATTTTCAGTGAATTTAATTTTCAGTGAAAACAAATAAGCTTTAAGCTGAGTCACAGAATCCGTACTCTTAAATGTATATAAATTACTAATGGGGAGATTAAAAACAGGTAATGACAGATGTTCTCTTCAAGAATATATATTGAAGGAAAGCTGAAAACTGGGTTTTCATGGAGTAGGCAGTAAACGGTTATCTTCTAGTGCCTTTTCAGCTAAAGTGAATTTCCACTTTTTCCCTTGTTCATTTTTTCAGGCAAGCAGGTATATTTTTGTGATTTTCTTTTCCAAGAAAACCCAAGGATTTTCATGTTTATGTTTCTAATAATGGTCAGGAAAGTGAAGTTGGTGGAGTCAGAGAAAACCAGGATTTCTTTCAATGCATGAGTTTGTATTTTTCTCACACCTTTAAATCTTGCTCGGCAGAATGTATGAAAGTATGTATTTCTCAGAATCTTTTGTGTACACTTAATGTTCTCTTCTTTCTAAAGGTGAGGCTTCTATACTCGCTACTTTCTCTGTAACAGAAGGGAAGAAAAAAATTCCTGTGGCTGGCTGCCGAGTCCAAAAGGGTCAGTTAGAAAAACAAAGAAAATTTAAATTAATCCGTAACGGACATGTTATTTGGAAAGGTAAGCAACATCACAATCTGTAATATTAAATCCAGCCACCCAAACCTGATTCCGTGTAACCATCTAAATGAAATCTTTCACTCCCATATCCTAGAGTTCAGGCTATTCCTTCTTGTTAACTCAGACCTCATCTCCAGTTGACAGACTGCCTTCCTTACTAGTCCTGAGGTCTCCTCCAGGATTTTTTACTCTTGCCTGGTAATCTGTATAACCTGGAATAATCCTGATAAATCAGTAATCTCATTTCCTACTTATAAAAATTGACCCCAAATTACCTTTCCAGCTCTGTCCACTACACTTGATTTACAGCATTGTACTGGCTTACCTTGACCTTTTGCCTGCAATGTCTTTTATCCCGGATTATCTCATTCAAGTCTTGAGTACAGTGCCATCCTCGGCAAAGTCTAACCTTTGAAATGGGCGATTTAGTTCTTTCCCTATAAACTGCATCTTGTTTACAGCAAACCAATTTTCTTTGGTTTCCCTAGTATTTAGTTCCATCATTTAACATGATAGGACTGTAAAATTTAAGAATTTCAGCGTAACTTAATTTTCCTTTTAACACCAGACTATATAGCAGTTAGCAGGTATTATTTGTTGAATGTGTATACTTTTTGTATTTTATTAAGGTTCATTAACCTCATTGAAACACCATAAAGATGACATGTCAGTCATCAAAACTGGAATGGATTGTGGTCTCAGTTTGGATGAAGAAAAGATAGAATTTAAAGTGGGAGATGAAATTGTTTGTTATGAAGAAAAAGAAGTTCCAGCCAGGACTTCTTGGAATCCAGGATTTTAAAACTGTATTAAAAAATGTAAACAGGGGTGCCTGGGTGGCTTAGTCGGTTAAGCGTCCGACTTTCACTTGGGTCATGATCTCGCGGTTCGTGGGTTCGAGCCCCGCGTCGGGCTCTGTGCTGACTGCTGGCTCAGAGCCTGGAGCCTGTTTCAGTCTGTGACTCCCTCTCTCTCTGACCCTCCCCTGCTCACGCTGTCTCTCTCCCCTAGAAATAAAACATTAAAAAAAAAAAAAAAATGTAAACAATTAATGGGGTGCCTGGCTGGCTCAGTGGATACAGCATGTGACTCTTGATCTCAGGGTCGTAAGTTTGAACCCCATGTTGGGTGCAGATTATTAAAAAAAAATAAATGTAAAAACAAATACCTTGGTTTATTATAGAGTAGCTAGTTTTGCTTTAATCAAGGGAAGAATTCACTTCTGGTCAGAAACTACCCAAGTAGTTTTACCAAGTGTTAACATGGATAACTTGTCAAAATGCTAGAGATAGAAATAGAAACCTTATTTAAGGATGCATCCAAGTAGATATCCTGTTAAGAATGGTATGGTAAAAGGGAATTGTTCATTATCAGTGCCATTGAATGTAATAAGTCAGTTTATAATAAACTTCAACTGCATGTTTTTGCTGAGTGGTATCAAGACCAGCAAATCTCCCTGAATTTAGCTCGCGGGCAAAATACAGTGCCAAATATTACTTAAAACTTTCTCAATGTGTATAAACTATTTGTTCCCTAGTACTGTTAAGTTCTAAGATTTCATACAACATTGAGCAAGAATATCCCCATGAACTGTGTACTGCAAATATACCAGCCAAACCACCTAGGGGCTCAGGATGTTACATTTCTTATGTAGGACCCAAGTATGTTATCTTTTTGAGGCAAGGTGTAATATCCGTTCTTACCAGTGGGGACAGCCCCCACCCTACCACCCCAGGGATCATTTGGCAATGTTTGGATATATACTTGGTGGGAATGGTGTGCTACTGGCATGAGGTGGGTAAAGTCCTATGATGCACAGGACAGCCCCCACAACAAAGAATTATCTGGTCCATAATTTTAACAGTGCTAATGTTCAAAACTGACAATACAAACTGGCTTGTATCTAGACAGTCGATATTAAACACAACCTAATTCTGCCAAAGTATGTGTAGTTTATTAAAGAAAATGGTGCGTTCTTCAATTTGATAAAGACCACTCTTTTAAGTGACTGGAAAAAAATTCAACAATTAAACGTTAGTTCATGTCTTTTATTGACCCATATATAATTACTTGTCTTCGGGTTTGTTGAAGCAGTAGGTCAGACAACATTTGCCACAATAATGTCTATCAAAGTGGCTAGCCATAAAAACTCCAGCACCACATTCATCCGAAGGGCACTCCCGACGAAGGCGACTGATTTTGCCATTCTCATCCACCTAAAAGGTACAAACCTGCTGTCAAGGTAATTTTACAATGTATTCTGAAGTCTAAGTTAAGGGACTCAAAATACTCAACCTCATTAAAGTTCACTCACTCATTAAAGTTCAGCCTTGCAAATAGTGGACAGATCGAAGTCCAGATAGGACTTCAAAATCAGAACTTTAATTTGGAACAAGCAGCTTAAAGTGAACCCCATCATATGAGGCTTGTTCAACTACCAAAGAGGAAAGAAAGCTCTTAAAGAGTCTGATACCACAAAACAGATGAACATATGGGAAGGGGGCAAAAAACCAAGAGGAAGCAAATTCTTTAACTCTAGGGAATCAACAGGATTGATGGTGGGAGATTGCCTAAATGGGTGATGCGCATTAAGGAAGGTACTTGCTATATGATGAACAACACTGGGTGTCATATGTAAGTGATGAATCACTAAATCCTACTCCTGAAACCAGTAATATACGTTAACTAATTAGAATTTAAATCAAAATTTGAAACAGAATTTGAAACCAGAGGTGTAAACAAAATTTACTAATCTACAAACAGAAACTGATTTTTACTAAATCGGCTCACCTTATAGTATTTCAGGACTGCCAGTTTAACCTTCTTTCTCTTATGCTTATTCTTCTTGGGAGTGGTGTAAGACTTCTTCTTCCTTTTCTTAGCACCACCACGAAGTCTCAACACCAGATGGAGAGTGGACTCCTGTTAATGAAAGAGTATGAAACAGGCTTTAAAATGAGTACATTAATGTTCACATACCATTAAGAATGGGCAACTAGCACCATCATCATCTAACCGGATGGCTAGAAAGTTCACAATTCCGTAGAACAAAGTTGTGGAGGAAAAATTAACTTGTTTCTAGAGAGATCAAAGAACACATTATACCACACCATGGGATGCAATCCACAAAATCCAGAATGTGAGAAGCTATAGCAGTGTTTCTGAAATGTTAATGCAGGGGTCACATAGGAACCTACTGCTAATCTAATGCTCTTCTTTCTCCCCCACTTTTGTGTGGTCAAAACTTACAAAATAAGATTTACATTTAAAGGACTGCTCTGGAACACTGTGGAAGTCCCTCAAAAAATTAACAGAACTCCCCTATGACCCAGCAATAGCACTGCTAGGAATTTATCCAAGGGATACAGGAGTGCTGATGCATAGGGGCACACGGACCCCACTGTTCATAGCAGCACTCTCAACAATAGCCAAAACGTGGAAAGAGCCTAAATGTCCATCAACAGACGAATGGATCAAAAAGATGTGGTTTATCTATACGATGGAATACTACATGGCAACGAGAAAGAATGAAATCTGGCCATGTGCAGCAACATAGATGGAACTCGAGAGTAATATGCTAAGTGAAATAAGTAAGGCAGAGCCAAACGGGTACCATGCTTATTACACTCATGGGGATCAGGAGAAACTTAACACAGGAGAGGAAGGGGAAAAATAGGGAGACGGAGAGAGGCAAACCATAAGAGTGTCTTAAATACTGAGAACCGAGGATTGATGGGGGTGTGAGGTAGAGGGAAAAATGGGTGATGGACACGGAGGAGGGCATTTGTTGGGATGAGCACTGGGTGTTACGTGGAAACCAACTTGACCGTAAACTATATTTATTTATTATTATTATTTTTTAAATTTTTACCCTTTATTTTTGAGAGCCAGAGCACGAGTGGGGGAGGGGCAGAGAGAGGGAGACACAGAATCCAAAGCAGGCTCCAGGCCCAGAGCCTGACACGGGGCTCGAACCCACGAACCGTGAAATCATGACCTGCGCTGAAGGCGGTCGCTTAACCGACTGAGCCACCCAGGCGCCCCATACCATAAACTATATTTAAAAAAACAAAAAAAAGACTGTTCTGTTCTCCAGACCTTTTGAATGTTGTAGTCAGACAAAGTACGCCCATCTTCTAGTTGCTTGCCAGCAAAAATCAATCTCTGCTGATCAGGAGGAATTCCTAATAAAACAGAGTAAGTCACATCATAAACACATCTGCCTAAAATTTATAAATAATCTTTAATCAAGTAAAGGGTACTAATAGCAGTCACTATAAGCTCGGCATGGTTTTAAATGCTTGCATAACCAACCCTTTAATCCTAAGGACAATACACGTCAATAGTATCTTCATTTTACAGTTAAAGAAACCCACGTAGAGAATTAAACAGCTAGCTCAACTTCACACAGGTGAAGCACACCCCTTTTTGGCTCCATGCTCAGAAACATTTGTTTATTCTATCTCAAAAGCATTTGACTTTGTCAATTCGACCTCTTCCCACCCCACCCACAGCAGGACTGCCTAGTAAGGAAACTGGCGCCAGTACAGGTTATTTCTCTGAAGTGGACAATATTACTTGCCTTCCTTATCCTGAATCTTGGCCTTCACATTTTCTATTGTATCCGAGGGTTCGACCTAGGAATTTTAAAATGCAAATATACTGGTAACACAATAGGAAACTAGAATAAGTGCCCAATTTAACTTCAATGTTTATTTTCCGAAAGCTTGAGAGAGACAGAGTGCTAGCGGGAGAGGGGCAGAGAGGGAGGAAGACACAGTCCGAGGCGGACTCCAGACTCGGTGCGGTCAGCAGAGCCCCATGCCAGGATCGAACCCGTGAACCATGAGATGACCTGAGCCGAGGTCGGAAGCTTAACTGATTGAGCCACACAGGCACATCTTACCTAATTCAACTTCAAAGTTACCCCAGAATCAAGCCAGTGGAAGGCAGAAGCCTACCCAACAGAGCTGATCACTCTCCCAGGGTGCAGGCAACCTCCCTCCCCCAGGACTGCTGCTGGCGAGCACACTTCCTGAACCCTGCCCAGGGCCGGCGGCGGCTGAGCCACACGTGCTCGCCCCTAGCCGTGGGAGCGCCTATTTCCCCACCGCAGGAGCTCTGCTTTGAGTACCTGGCGAGAACCACTGGAGAAGAGAACCCACACCGCAGGCATCCAAAGACGGCCCTAGACCCCTACTCAGCAAAACCTCAATTCAGGGCCAGTTTTAGGAACCCAGACTCCTGAACAGATTCTACTGCAGAAAGCGGCACGGGTCCCTAACTCCACTTCAGGCCCACATTCAGGCCTTGACTTCCTAACGCCACCTGGCCCTACCTCAAGAGTGATGGTCTTCCCCGTAAGAGTTTTCACGAAAATCTGCATCTTGGCGGCGGTTCCACCTGAAGTTGAGCAAAAGAAAGAAAAGTCAGACTTGGGGAAACAGGACAGACCGCCCGGTAAGCCACTGGGCGGAGAGAGGACCCAGAGCACACACTCACCGCAGATGGCGGATCGGAAAGGAAAGCTACGCGCCGGCCCACGGGGTTTCCCGGCGCCCCCACCAGAGGCCCCACCTCGTAGGTGACCACACCAAATGCCGGACTCCTGTCAACGAGGCTGTCTAACCACATGCCAGACTAGGGCGCGAACCTCATTTTTTCTCTCTAGCCTGAATTTATTTCTCACTTTTCCCTTCAGAATGCTCTCGGAATAGTAGATTTAAACAAATAAAAATGGCTTTTAAAGGCTTTTTCCATATAAGCCACGTGGCTTGTAGGGTCTTCAACAGGGGGTGGAGTTGAGGGGGCCTCATTGAGGAAGTGGGAGGAAAAGAAAGTGTCTTCTGGGAATTGTAGTTTTACACTGCTTTCTTTTAGTTTGGACTACTTGTCCCAAGATGCAGTTCCACATCTGCAGTTCCTTAGTTACTGTCTCCAAGCACTGGAGTCAACATTTGGAGAAAGGGATTAAGGTGAGGAGTGAGCAAGGCTGAGGCGGAGTACTGCTTTCGGGGAAGGTGGCGACGGGTCTCGGAAATGACTAGGAGAAAAGGTTAAGAGGCGGGAGAAGAGTCGGGGAACAGAGATAATCGTTCCCTCAACATACTCAGGCGGTAAGAGGCGGAGGATCAGCGACCAGATAGCAGATGATTTGGCCTCCAGGGAAAGGGAATGCCTGTGGCTGGCTCCAGGCCGACCTTAGGATAGGTAGTGCCTTAAAACCCTTGGGTTCATCTTTTTCTGTCCTCGTCTTCAATCCCCAAATCTGCCCTAGTCTGAGTAAGATTCTGGGCATTGTGTAGCTGTAGGATTCCTTAGTGTGCAACAACTTGACATGTTGAAAATCTCAGGAGTTTTCACATTTTAAAATGAAGTCATGTGGGAAAGAAACCTGCAGAATGATTATTTAGTTGTAGAATTTCCAAGTTGGGACATTTCACTTGTGAAGGTACCGAGAGGAAGGTTTGGGAGTATGTGTAGGATTCTCTCGTAACACAGCGGGCCAATTAGACCCAAGTTACGCCTTCCTCTGGCCTTTCTTCACTGTGCAAACCACGGAATCCTTTCTAATGTACCTTCCTAATGTCTTCTCTGTTTATCTCTCTATGCCCTCTCCTCTGTATCCCCATCCTCAACCCCCAACTCAGGTCGTCCTTAATTTTCTCCTGGAAGAGTTAATCTGACTTCTTCTTCTCCTCCTTCTTCTTCTTCTTCTTCTTCTTTTTTTTTTTTAATATTTAATGTTAATGTGTTTTAGAGTGAGACAGAGCACTATGGGGGAGGGGCAGATAGCGAGAGGGAGACACTGAGTCTGAAGCAGGTTCCAGGCTCTGAGCTGTCAGCACAGAGCCTGGGTTGGGGCTCAAACCCAGGAACCATGAGGTAATGACCTGAACCGAAGTCGGACATCCCACCAACTGAACCACCCAGGCGCCTGGAGTTAATCTAACTTCTAACCTGCCTTCAGTCTTTCTCCTTTTGTAACTGACCCTCACTTTTGCCCCAAAACCATTCAAAAAAGTAAACGTAATCATGTCATTATTCTACTTCACTTTCAGGATAAAATCCAAATTCTTTAGTATGATATTCGTGCTTTGCCTTCGTTACAGCCTCATGTATCAAAAACCAATACATGCTTTACATTTTAATGACTGGGCTGGTTGAGGTAACTAGCTTATGCTTTCTCTTGCTTTGGCGCTTCTAAAACATCCATTTCTTCTTCCTGGAACATTCTTCCTCCCTTTTGCTACCAACTAGTCCCCGTCTTTACAACAAAACTCCTTCAAAAGGTTATGTATGCTCATTGCTTCCAGTTTTCCCCTTCCATTAACTGAATCTACTATCAAGATTTTGTCCCTACCAAACAATGAAATAGCTATTATGGTCATTAATAACCCCCATGTTGCTAAATTCACTGGTCATTTAATCTTATTTGATCAAATCAACATTTGACACAGTTGATTACGCCCTCCCTCTTTGAAGCCCTTCGTTCCCCTGACTTCCAGGATGCGTCTCTCACTTCTTCCCTTGACACTCTTTTCCAGGCTTTTTTGCTGCTTCCTCTTGACCTCTAAACTTTGGAGTGCTTCCAAGGCCCAGTCCTTGGACCTCTGCTTTCTTGACATTTCCCAGGTCATTTTCATTCTGTCTCATAACTTTTAAATACCATTTGTATGTTCATGACTGGTAAACTTATCTCTCACTCAGACAGCTCATCGGAACTCCACCTTCACATATGCAGCTGTCTGTTCAACACCTCTTATAGGCAAGCCCAGACTCCTGATCTCATGAAGTTGCTCTTCCCATCTTCATAAATGGAAGTTCCCATCTTCTCATCACTAAGCCCAGAAACTTTATGGTCATCCTTGACTGCTCTCTCATATCCCCGTACCCTCATATGCACAGTGAATCTTCTTGGCTTTATTTTCAATATACAGAACACTTCTCACCACCTCTACTGTTACTGTCCTGATTCAAGCCACACTTTTCTTTTGCCCGGATTATTGCAGTAGCCTCCTAACAGTGCTTCCAGCTTTGACACTTGTCTTCAAAGAGCAGCAGGAAGGATTCTTTGAAAATGTACATCAGCTGTCACTCTTCTGCTCACAGCCCTCCGGTGGCTTCCCATCTCACTCAGAGGTAAGCCTGAGTTCCTCTAAGTGAGGGTGTTGCCCCAGCCCTGGAACAACAATCCAGCTCATTGTTCCTCTTGCCAAGTCTGCCTGGTGGAAATGGCACCTTTTTCTCGCCTGCGCAAAGGTGCCGCACGGGCTGAGAGTGGCCCTACATTCAAGGCCTTATATTCTACGTGATCTGGCGGCTACTTCTCTGACCTTATCTTTTCTGTCCCTTTCCCATTCTCTTCTAGCCCCACTGGCCTTCTTGCTGTTTGTCACACATGCTGTCCTGCTTTGAAGCCTTTGACTTACTGCTCTGTCTGCATCAGCCACTCTTCTCCCGGGAATCTTCAAACTACTTTTTTCAGATTTCTAAAATGTTACCTGTAAGGTAACAGGTAAAAGTGAGGGCTTTCCTCTTCCCCGACTTCATGCCTTGCATAAAATAGCACCCTACCACTCTCCTTTATAGTTCCCGTTCCTTGTTTTATATATTTATACAACTTACACCTATGTGTCATCTGCGTCTTGTGTGTTGTCTGTCTCTCTGTTTGGATGTAACCTCCAGGAGGTTAGGGACTTTGTTTTGTTTGATGCTGTATCTCTAGTGTCTACAACAGTGGCAGACACAGTAGGTAACCCCCCCACCCCCAACATTTATTGAATACATAAATGCAGCACAACATAAAGATTGCACTAGGTAGTATTCCATTAGGTGTTTTTCCTGATGTTTCCCTGCCATCTTCCACAGACTAGTGATGTACCCCTCCGGGCTTTTGAAGTGCGTTGTGTCCACCTCTGTCACAATGCCCTCTCTGCTCTGTAGCAATGGCTCATTTAACTAGACCCAATAGATTTGACTGGAAACCTTTGTCACTTGTTTTCTCTGTATCCCTCTGTGTCTAATATGAATGAGTGAGTGAAAGGTAATCTGAGTTGGTTTATGTGACTCTGGGGGATTTGTAGATGCTGAGGAACAGTCAGTTTAGCCGTGTTCTGGTTTGAGGGCACCACAAGTCATGTCTTCTGACCAGACCAGATTATTGCTAAGTGATTATTGATTATTAAGCATTTTTTAAAGTATATATCCTGCTAGAAACTACTATGCACTGCAATGCATGTAGGTAGGGAAGGATATTGGGGAATGAGAACATTTTAGTTCCTGCCTACTGGGAGAGATAGACTGTAAACAGAAAGTCTCTATTACAGAGTGGCTGAGTGATAATACCATGATAGAGGAAGTTCACAGTACGATGGGAGAATGTAGAACTCGACCAAGTTTAAGGGAGTTCAGGGCAGCTTTCCTAGAGCTGTATAAACTGAAATCTGAAAAATGAGTAAAAGCCAAGTGAATGAGAGTGGTAGTATGAGTGTAACTTGGTGGGAGCAAGGCGTGGTAAAGGATGGAAAGAGGAAACAGAGAAATGGGGAGAGAATTACTCAAGACCCTCAGGTAAGAGAGCAAGCTCATGGGAGTGGGGATTGGGGTTAAGGGGAGGACAGGAGCAAGAAAGGCTGGATTTGGACAGAGAGAAAGGGGGTACCTGGTTCCTATAGGGCATATAGGCCAAGTAAAGGAACTTAGATTTTATCCTAAGGATAATAGGAAGCCACTCATGTTCAGATGTAACTACCCAGTCCCCAGTGGTCACATCCAGTCCTTCCTCCTTTTACTGTTATCTTTTACTATTTGAAATTACATTGTTTATTTATAGTCTGTTTCCACTGCTAGATTGTAAGTAAGCTCCAAGGAGCCAGGAATTTTATCTTATTTATTACTGGATCTCAGCTATAAAACAATGCTGGCATTTAGGAAACACTCAGTAAATATATTTTTTAATGTTTCATTTATTTCTGAGAGAGAGAGACAGCGTGAGCAGTGGAGGGTCAGAGAGAGAGGGAGACACAGAATCTGAAACAGTCTCCAGGCTCTGAGCTAGCTGTCAGCACAGAGCCCGACGCGGGGGCTCGAACCCACGAACTGGGAGATCATGACTTGAGCCGAAGTCGGACGCTTAACCGACTGAGCCACCCAGGTGCCCCAAACACTCAGTAAATATTGACTGGATGAATGAATAAGGAAATAGATTTTTCACTTGGGAAAACTGTTAATCCATTTGTGGGTTATTTCCTTTTTGGAACTACTTTATGTTATTTATAAATTGGTTTTTCATTATCCAGTTCATCAACATAAAGATAAATTAGATTTTTTAAACTTTGAAATTATTTTGATGTCTCCCTCCCCCTGTGTACAACCTGTGGGAAAGATTTAATAGGCCATATATGTTATTTCAGATAACGGGGTATCAATTGTGTTGCTAAAACATGGTAAAGTAGATTTAGACATTTATTTATCACAGAATGTATTCATCACAATCATTAGAAGTCATATTTTTGGAAGCTAACAACATGAAAAAGTGCTTTTGTTTGTTTTTTATTTTTTATTTTAAAAAATTTTTTATGTTTATTTATTTTTGAGAGACAGAGTGAGACAGAGTATGAGCAGGGGAGGGGCAGAGAGAGAAGGAGACAGAATCCGAAGCAGGCAGCGGGCTCTGAGCAAGAGCTCAGCACCGAGCCCGATGCGGGGCTCGAACCCACCAACTGTGAGATCATGACTTGAGCCGAAGTCAGACACTTAACCAACTGAGCCACCCAGGTGCCCGGAAAAGTGCTTTTAATATTAAGTGAAAAACGAGGGGATACAAAGCTGAGTGTAGAGAGTGATCCTGATTTTTATAATATCAGGATTATATATTTTATATATAACTAGATTTTTTATAATTTTATAACTAACTAGAAGGAAATATACCAAAATATTTAAATCATTGTGTTTGGGTGAGGGATCCTGGATGATTTTTGGTTTTTCATTTTCTTTCATTTATATTTTCCAAATTTTATATCTGAATATACGTGAATGAGGGAAAGATTGGGAAGAGTTAGACATTTTTGAGCAAGCTATGGGTTCTGTTTGATGTTAATGTGAATAGATTTCAGGAACCAACTTCTGTATCTAACTAAGTGGGTAATGATTCTTTTTTTTAAATTAATGTTTACTTCTGAGAGAGAGAGAGAATGCAAGCAGAGGAGGGGCAAGGAGAGGGAGAGACACAGAATGGGAAGCAGGCTTCAGGCTCTGAGCTGTCAGCACAGAGCCCTATGCAGGGCTCAAATCCATGAACTGTGAGATCATGACCTGAGCCGAAGTTGGACATTTAACCAACTGAACCACCCAGGCGCCCCTTGGTTCTACTAAAAGAGCAATGGAATGTAGCTGCTTGAAACTGTACTCAGAAAAAGATTGTTTGTTATCTTTGATATCGCTGATGGATGGATGTTAGCAGAAATTCTGACTTCTTACTTTTAGTTAGTACATTTGTATTAAAGATAGAATTACGGTAAAGTTTATCACAAAATAAAGTCATGAGTTATTTGTAGCTATCATGATTGTGCCTGGGCCAACTAAGCACATGGGTAGAGAAATAGTTGACCTTGTTTGTGTCATGAGGAGACTTCCAAATTAGTTTTCCCACAGGAAACAAACAAAATGGTAAAACTTCTGTTAGAAATATTGAATTAAACATGATACATAGGCTTGGTTACTAAGAAAAGATCTCTTTATTGACTGGTGTTTGGTGTTTCTATCCCAGAGGTATAGCACTTGACAGTAGAATAGATTAGACTTTTTAATTCATAGGTTGAAATATTTATCTAAGAGACTCATGGGAAATATTTTCCCATGAAAAATAAATTTTTAGACCAGATTTAATTTTTCATAAATTTATTAGAAATGAATTAATTTACTTTAAGCTTCAGATTAATTGTTGGTCTCTTTTTCTTTCAGGCTTACCAAAGTTTTGGCTTTGTTGCAAAAGCAAATCAAGACTTGGTGAACAAGTGTGCAGATTGTGACGTATGTCGGTCCAAGAAATAAATAAACATGCAGTTCTCCCTCCTATCATTAGTAGAAGTGACAAGGAATTTTTGGAAAGTATGCAAAGATACATAATTACAGAAACTGAAAGAGTGGGCTGTAATGAGGAAGGACCTGCTGATGAATATTACATCATATACCGACACGTTTTTGATAAGGTATCATAATGATATCTTAAGGTGATGGAGTTTTCCTGTGGTAGAAATGGTCTATCTTGACAACTAATATTCCTGCCTTAGTCACGTCACTGATTGATTACACTTCATTTGTCAATTTTGAGAAGTTCGTGCAGTGTATTGGAAAGGGATTATGGGGAAAGTACAGTGCTGGATTTCTATCACTAGATAGTTATCGAGTGGTTCGATTGATTTAGCTTAAGTGCAGACTCAGTTTTTGAACAATAACATAGTTGTGCCTTCTAACATCATCTTGGTCTTCTATCTGAAAATATCTTACTTGTTAGGCACAAGGCTACAAAGCAGGAACCTGGTAGTTGTTATTTCAGGTTTGTGGTATCATTAGAGTGTTGGCTTAGATTTGATTTAGCATATTAAATTGGAACCTCTTGTGAGTCAGAGGGCTAGATAGGTCCGGTAAACGAGAGGTTTGACTGGGCTGAACACTGAAAATATACAGATGAGTTTAATTTTTTTAAAAAGAGAATTCATGCAGATCCATAAGAGTATAAAATAAACAGTCTTTTTTTTTTTTTTTTTAAGTTTATTTATTTATTTTGAGAGGGAGAATCCCAAGCAGGCTCTGTACTGTCAGTCTGGAGCCTATCTTGGGGCTCGAACCCAGGAACTGTGAGATCATGACCTGAGCTGAAATCAGGAGTCTGATATGAACCGACTGACACAGCCAGGCACCCCAGAAACAATTTTTTTTCCTGAAAAAAAATTTTTTTAATGTTTATTTATTACTGAGAGAGAGAGGGAGCGAGAGAGAGGGCATGTGTGTGCAACCCGGGAGGTGCAGAGAGAAGGGGAACAGAGGATCCCAAGTGGGCTTTGCGCTGGTAGCAGTGGGCCTGATGCTGCTCTTGAACTCACAAACTGTGAGATCATGACCTGAGCTGAAGTCAGAAGCTTAACTGACTGAGCCACCAGGCGCTCCAGAAAGAAGACTTTTCTTTTAAGTCATCTAGAAAAACTACCTTTCAGAATTTGTACGTTGGCAAATTAATTTCATTTTGTATGTTGTTATGATCAATGATACTGCTTTTGGTGTTTGAGTCATTAAGGAATATATTGGATAAATGTTTTAAAGTAGTGTTTTGAATGGGTTTCATAAATATCAGGAGTCAATGCTAAGACTCTACTTACCTGAAATCAGCAGAGGAAAGTTGTCATAACTGTGACATGTTTATCTTTGCATGCCCAGCTGCTGACACTTGTCAGAAGTTTTCTTCTTTTTTTACTACCATTTTTTTAATGTTTATTTATTTTTGAGAGAGAGAGAGTGCGAGTAGGGAAGGAGCAGAGAGAGAGGGACAGAGGATCTGAAGCAGCTCTGTGCTAACTTGTCAGAAGTTTTCTTACATGAAGAGATGTCTGTTCCAAATTAGTATAGTTCTAGTGAAATCATTCTGGAGTTGGTGTTGGTAAATTTAATTCTTAGAGAAAAGACATGGGATTATATAAAAGATAAGAAGACTACATCTATAGTCCTGTTCTCCCTAGTCTTTTCAGTTCCTCTGAAATCTGTTGTATTCTAGCAAGATTTCCATGTGGACTCTCCGTCCGTTGTACAATTATAAATTGTACATTTGTGCCTTGTAAAGAATCCTGTTCTTCAAGACTGAGAGGGTATCTGAAATAGAAATTATTTGGTGCTTAAAGAAACTTCTCTTCCAGTTTCTTGAGATAATCTGTTTTTCCATTTTCATGTTATTCCGGCACATTAGATTGTTAATAAACTATTAATGACTGCCTTCTCTACTCTTCGTTCCCTCTTGGAAGGATCTAATCGGGTAGAGATGAAAGTATTAACTTGCATCTCTGAGTACTTGGAATCAGAGAACAGCTACGAAATTCTGCTTACAATCACAGATAGAGGGTTTGACCTGGAGAACTGTGCCTGAATCCAAACAGGGAGCACCTAAGATTCTGATAGTAGGACTTTAGTGTGGGTTATAGAAAGAGGGAAAGACAGTAAACAAGGAAGACCAAAGCTAGGAGGAGTGAGCTTCTACAGAAGTGGTGAATCATGGAGGCAGCTGGCCTCTGGAAAGTGGCCAGCTTTTGTGTGTCTGGTAGCAGGTACAAATAGTCTATGTCCATCTGTGGGAGCTGAGGTAGAATGGCTGCCACTCCTCTTCTCCCTCAAATTCCTGTTGTTGGTAAGTATAGCTCTGGTTTCTTGAGTTAAATGCAAATCTGAGTGCCAACTTGAATGATATAGAGGCCAGGAAGGCCCTATAAAAGAGTTAAGTGGGTTGGCTGTAAGAGAAGAAGGAATCATGAGGACTGTGGTAAAATGAAGAACAAATCCGATTGAAAGCTGCCGCTCATTGTTGCCGTTAAGGAATGATGGTTCATGCTGGTAGATTTTTCAGAGTTTTCAAGAGAGGCTAGAAATACAGTTTTTGGTGAAATTTCCTACATTTTAAAATATTTTGTGAGTCAAGCAAAACTGGATTCTACCTATAGCATGCCAGTGTGCTTCCTTTACTTTTATGCATTTTCTGTGTATTCTTAAAGGTTCCCATGAGCGTTCCTCTGAAATCTGTGTCTTGTAGCAACAGATGTGGGAGCCGATTGTGGTGTCTTGATGTCTGTTTTCTCTCCATTAACTTATCTTAGTTATATTGGATTATTGTGGCATATCCTAGCGGCGTGGGAAGTGGAGGATGGCCAGGAACAGCAGGGTATTTAATTTGGAAGACTAGACAAATGGCCTCTATTTTATTAAAAGTTCTTGGGTGGCTGTCCTCCTGACTTGAGTAGATGGATAATATGGTCAAGTCAAAAAGACAATCAGAGAGCACCTGGATGGTTTAGTTGGTCAGGCCCCTGACTTTGGTTCAGGTTGTGATCTCACCATTCCTGAGTTCAAGCCTTATGCTGGGCTCTGTGCTGATAGTTCAGAGCCTGGAGCTGGCTTCAGATTCTTGTGTCTCCCTCTCTCTCTGCCCCTTCCCCGCTTGCACTCTCTTTCTCAAAAATAAATAAACATTAAAAAAAAAAGACAACCGGGGCGCCTGGGTGGCTTAGTCGGTTAAGCGTCTGACTTTCGCGTAGGTCATGATCTCGCGGTTCGTGGGTTCAAGCCCTGCGTCGGGGTCTGTGACTCCCTCTCTCTCTGACCCTCCCCTGCTCATGCTCTCTCTCTCTCTCTCTCTCCTAGAAATAAATAAAACATTAAAAAAAAAAATTAAAAAAAAAAAAAAAAGACAACCAGTATCTTCCACTCACATATCCTCTCCTGGTATTTACCAGTGATCAGTAATCTCCTTACACTATTTCTTGATAGACCAGATCTCTTCCAGACCAGGTAATTTTTCTAGATATTGTTTAACTAACAGAAAACCAGTGGAGAATAACAGAGAATAGAGATGTAGCAGGGATAGATAGACAGCATAATTATAGCTTTCAGAGAAAATTATGGATTGATCACATCTCTTACCTGTACATAGAATTTGGAAACCATAAATTATAACTTTTTTTGTTTTTTAACTTTTTAAAAATGTTTCGTAATTATTTACTTTTGCATGGGTAATGCATACACAAGATTAACAGAAAGAAAAAAGGAAAGAAAGAAAGAAAGAAAGACAGAAAGACAGAAGAAAAAGAACTAGAGAACCAATAAAGAATAAACAGTGGAAAGAAGTCAAATCCTTTTCTTTTCAGACCCTGCTTCCTCTTTGTTTCTCTCTTCTTCTATTATCCTTCTTGAGATATTCTGTACTTATATACACCATAGGAAATCATGAATATGTAATGGGTTTTCTACAGTTGCCATTTAGTAATTGAGAGTATTGATTAGCCAATAGGAGCTAATAGGTTAGAAAAACAAAGACGTAAAGGGAATCCAAGATTTTAAGGTCTGAGTGGTGTCAGAGACTAAATTTAGAAATAGTAAGGGATGATAGGTACTTATATAAAATATCTATAATTGAAATAATTAGAGCTGGTATTGGCTTTAACTGACATATAATATTTGTGTTCATACTAAGTAAAGCAAAAATACTGAAGCTCAAAGTATTATAATGATTCACAAAATACATATTCAGTAAATAATAATTGTCTTCAATATCCAGTCACATTTGACTGGATGTTAAAGTTTAAGACTTCTAATTGCTCATCATATTTTATTTAAAAAATAATATACAATGCTGTTTGCAAGGGTTTTGTTCCATAGTCTTCTAGAAAAAATTCAGTACCATAGGCAGAAAAATCATATTTCAGGTAATAGAGTATGTCACTGCATACAAATCCATTCTTACTTCAATCAAAAAAGAATATGATGCCTTTATTGAGACAATAAAGGAAAGCCAAAGAACTGCGTTTTGTCTTCATGGAAAACTTAAAGCTTTGGCAGCAGAGCCCATAGCATTGGTATATCACAGGAAAAGAACAATCCAACTTGAAGCAAAGTAAGTATATTAGTAAGTAGCCCAAAAAGTGATGTTACTTGGTTATATTAACTAGTCACTGTAACTAAAACCGGTGTTTCTTAGTCTGTGAATTTCTGTTTTATTTATTTATTTAAAACAGATATGTTTTTATTTAGATATGACTGTATTTATTTATTTTAATGTTTATCCATTTGAGAGAGAGAGAGGGAGAGAGAGTGAGAGCACAAGCGGTGGAGGGGCAGAGAGCGAGACACACAAAATCTGAAGCAGGTTCCAAGCTCTAAGCTGTCAGCATAGAGCCAGACTTGGGCTTGAACCCATGAACCACGAAATCATGACCTGAGCCAAAGTCAGATGTTTAACCGACTGAGCCACCCATGTGCCCCTCAATTTTATTTTAAAGCTGTATTTTTATGTGACCTTTCCTACCAACTTGAAATAACTATAATTTTACTTCTTTCAAGTGAAAAAATAATAATTCTGTTTGAGAATTTTTTAATATCTCTTAGGATAGTTGGAAGTACATTGTAGTATCATAAAATGAAGGATGCAGGTAATTGCTCCAGGTAATTTCTTGTGTGGAAGATTTGATAGTAAACTTTCATGATTACTGTCTGAATTAGAGCACTTAATCATCTGATGCACAACAGTAGGTAATCTTCTGGGAGAGGATAAGATGCTCTCGTGTTGAGTAGTGTTATATTTTCTGTGTTCCATTTGGTAAATGGTGGGTGTATTATTTTTATAGATTATTTCAAATCATCTATGCAAAATTTGACCTCCATTTCTGGAAATAAAGTTGGCTAGATGTTGAGATTTTTTTATTCGGGAAAAATGCTACATAAAATATTAAAAATCTAAAAGCAGTAGGAAGCTGGCAAATGAGTAAGAGATTATCAGGGCAAAACTGTAACAAAACGTAAAACGAGCAATAATGCTTCTTTGACCCTAAGAGCCCTTGTTAAAACTAGTGACTAAGCTTCAGGGGGACAAAAGACGAAGCCTAGGATCTACCCAAGGGTGTGGTCTACTGGGAAATCCTCCTCATATAAAGCTGGGACATTAAAGGGCTATACCCTCGTAGAGTGAACCAGAGGTAAGCTGCTCAACCCTTGGGGACTGCATAGAAAATTGTGTTCTGTTCGGACTGCTAATGAGTATGGGTCTTATTTTGGGGTGACGAAATATCCTGGAACTAGAAGTGGTAGTGGTTGTACAACTCTACATATACTAAAATTCACTGAGTTGTATACAAGGGTGAATTTAAAGTATATGAACTATATCTCAATAAACCTATTTTAAAAAATAAAAAAAAAGAGGAGGCTCCATCCATGGAGGATGGAGTGAGAAAGTCATGTCTAATCAGAATTGAGAAGAGAAGAGAATACTTGTGATGAGCAGTGGGTGATGTATGGAATTGTTGAATCACTATATTGTACATCTGTGACCAAATAACTCTACTGTATGTTAACTATAATGGAATTAAAATTTTAAAAAAGGAGAGAATATTGGGACAATGTTTGAAGAGATATTGGCTGAGAATTTTCTAGAACTGGTGGAAGAACAATTCACAGATTAAAGAAGTCTCCAAACTCCCCAGCATTATAAATAATAAGGGATTCTCAACTAGATTTATCACAGTGAAATTGTCAAAGATAAAAAATATCCTAAAAGTAGTTATAGAAAGGAGCAACAATTAGATACCTTTGCATTAGTATTGTAACATATATTAGAATCGCATTCCTTTTTATGGTTGAATAATATTCCATTGCATGAATATATCATATTTTGTTTATCTGTTGATGGATAATTGGGCTGTTTCTACCTCTGGCTATTGTGAACAATGCCTCTATGAACATTCATGTACAAGTGACTGAGTCCCTGCTTTAAATTCTTTTGGAAGTCTGTTTATTTTTAACACGCTCTTCTTCTGCAAGCCTAAGTTTATTGGATGAAAGCTAAAGGATATTTTATTTCCACAGTCCCTCTTTCATAAATACTGCAGGCTCTTACTCAGCCATCTGTAGTCACCAGGAACTCTGTATAGTAATCAGATGTAGGCAGCAGTTCTCTACTGACAAAAATGTGTTTTTAATTTGCCAAAAACCCTGATATTATGTATCTAACTTATTTTAATCTGTTATTTCTTCCCTGGGTCAACATATCAGTGATAAACTAGGCAGTGAACATCCAATAATGCTCAAAAGAAATTTATATCTAAGATCTTTAAGATCCCCATCACTGGAGTGAGTCAGTTTTATCTTGAAGAAGTGCTACCATTCCTCCAGCTCTAGGATCTAAATTACTATAGGAGGCTGAAGAGTGGCCTTAAAGATGATTGGGTCCTAAGCCTGGGAACCTGGAAATGTTATTTATTTGGAAAAAGGGTATTTACAGATGTTATTACATTAAGGATCTTGGGATAGGGAGATTATCTTGGCTTATCCAGGTGGACCCTAAATACAGTCACAAGTGTTCTTCTAAAAGAGGCAGAAGGAGTGTTGAGAGGCAGAAGGGGAGAAGGCAGTGTGACCACCGAGGCAGACATTGAACTGATGTAGCCACAGAAGGCCAGCAGCCCCCAGAAGCTGGAAGAGGCAAGGAATAGGTTCTTCCCTAGAGCTTCTAGAGGAAGCATAGCCCTTTGACTTTGCCCCAATAATGCTGATTTTGGATTTCTGATCTCTGGAACTGTGAGAGAATAAATTTCTGTTGTTTTAAGCTACCAGGAAGTTTTTCTTGTCAATGTGTTATAGCAGCCACAAGAAACTAATACAATTACAAATATAATTTTAATTGCAAAGGTAATTTTCAACTATTGGGAGTAAACACAGTACTTGTGGCCAGATTACTGTGTTTTACACATACAAATTTCCATCACGATTATGTAAATCATAGTGTAAGATTTTTATTGATGCTCTGAAAAAAAGCTGTTCCTCACTAGTGAGGTTGGTTAACTTTTTTTTTGAATTTTTAAAATTTATTTATTTATTTATTTTTTACAAATAGTTTATTGTCAAATTGGTTTCCACATAACACCCAGTGCTCATCCCCACAAGTGTCCTCCCCCGTGTCCTTCCCCCCCCCACATCCATGAGTCCTCAGTTTTTGTCAGCATTCAAGAGTCTCTCATGGTTTGCCTCTCTCCCTTTCCCCCACCATTTTCCCCCTTCTTCTCCCCCTTGTTCCTCAGTTAAGTTCCTCCTAATCCTCCTATACGTGCAAAGAGGTTGGTTAACTTTTTATGGGCATTGTTTTATAAACCTCTACCAAAGTCCATAATGGTTCAAAATTATAATCATCCAAAACAATGATTTAACCTGTTTTACTTTAAATCTTATAATTAAGTAATTAAATTCATTGAAAGAAATATAAGAAAGCCTTTCTGTTTTTCAGAATGAGGGTTATTGAAAATAATTCCTCAAAAATTCAATTGCAAATAGACCAAATGAAACAACTTAGGGCAGAGTATGACAGAAAAGAAGTAAAATATCATACTTTCTCCAAAGATCCTTCAAAACCTATTCCAGGTACTGTATTTTGTTCAAAATATTTAAAATTTCCCACTGTTTTCAGTTATTATCTATTACACAAATTAGTATATATGTGCTGCAATGTGTATATTTGAAATGCATCAGGACTTGAGCCCGACTTTACAAACAGCTTTTGTCAGGACTCCAGGTGGATACAAGAGGATGAGAAAACTTCAGCAACCCTCAAAGGCTGAAGGACAGCTCCAGAGTGACTGGATTATATAAAGTATAATGGAGTGGCTGTTAAAGTTTGGCTCCTGCATCAATATCAACATTACCTGTGAACCTGTTAGAAATGCAAATTCTTTGGCCCCACTGCAGATTTACTGTGCTCCAGGCATGGGTGTTGGGTGGGTGTGGGGTGGAGCTCAGCAGTGCTTTAGCAAGTCCTTCAAGTGGTTCTAAAGTTAGAGAAGCCCTGATAAATGAAAAAACTGTGGTGTATTAAATTCTAGTGAATGCTGTTGATTAACATTGATGTCAGCATTCACTGGTTCTTCACCTTCAGCTAAATCACATTTTAAGAAACTGTGGAGTATATCCTGCCATTCATCAGGAGTTGAGAAGTTTGTATGATGAATGGATAGAAGAATTGCAAATATTCATCCTAGAGAAAAGGAAGACTTTCGGAATAGATAACTGTATTAAGAATTTTTAAGGGTTTTAGGGTCTTAGCCACTGTTTATCCAGAGGCAGAATCAATAAGGTAGACATTTTAGGAAGGCAGTTTGGTTTCAATAGAAGAAGCTATGTCTTGAAGATAATGAGCTGCTCCATACCAGAGCATTTCACCTGAGTTTGGATGATCATCCTGTGTTTGGTGGAAGCAGGGACTAGATTTACCTTCAAATATAAAATTATGATTATCAAACTACAAATAAGAAACATATAAATAAGGAGAGAATAAGTCAAATTGATTAAATGCTGAGAGGATTCAGAGTAAGGGAATGATTAAAAATTGAGTAGGATTAATCCAGGGGATTAATCTGGGAGAGAATTTTGAGGTATGCCTTTTAAAGGCAACAATTTGGGGCACTTGGGTAGCTCAGTCAGTAAAGCATCCAACTCTTGATTTCTGCTCGTCAGCAGCTGAAATCTACTTTCAGGTTAGAGAGAAATCTTTGGACAAAAATCCTGACTCGTTAGGCAGAAACTCTTAGTGGTATTGAGTAACAATGGTATTTAAGAGGTTTGCAAGTTATGTCAGTGAGGTTATTAAAACTTAGTGCTTAGGTTTGGACAATCAGATTTCATTGACGATATGTTTAAAACTGCTACACACTTAAAATTGTATGCTAATTCATTTATGTTCATGCTATAAGTAAGTTGTAAGTTCATGCTGCCATTTCTTAATTATTTCATAACATCACACTATGATTTTGCTGAAACTTGCTGTTTGAGCACAAGAGTCCGCCATATGGTTTGGCTTGTTTGATTTGTTTCCTTTTCCCTAGGCATGACTGTCCAAGAATCCGTCAATTTAGATGCTCTCACTAAATACCTGAAACATCTTGAAGATAAATATGCTGAAGTTAAACAGGTTATGCTGAAAAAATATGTACCAGTTCAGAGGAAGGAGGATTTAGATGAGGAAATGATGGTGACATTAAAACGGAGAGATTTAGCTGAAATTTTAAACAAAGAATTACAGTTTCGGTATATACAATTTTTAAGTTTGAAGCTTTTATTGTGTTTATTCTAATATTCTATTTGATTTTAAGTTCAGTGCATTGTTGATTTTTTTTTTCTTTGTAGTCATCAGAGACTGCAGATTATTTCACATGCATTTACTTCATGGGTAAAATCTGATATGAGCAGCTCATTTCAAGATTTTGTGGAGCAAATTCAGAAAACTAAAGATTTCCATGGTAATTTACCTGTATTTTTTAATTAACAAAAATAATGGAAAACATTTTTCTCCCAGAAAGCTAAAGAGTGATGATTTTCCTAGGCTCAGTTTAAAGAAATAAAAAATGTACTTATTCTGTTAGCTCTCAGTTACCCTATGGGCTTCTTCCTTCAACAGTCAACACATAATTGGTAAATAATGGATGTGGTAAGCCAAAGAGAGAATATCTAAAAATGTACCTGAAAATAAGGGATAGAGGGACAGGGAGGCCACTCAGTTTAAAAAGAGGTTGGAGCCTGGGTGGCTCAGTTGGTTAAGTGTCCAACTTCAACTTAGGTCATGATCTCATGGTTCATGAGATTGAGCCTTGCATTAGTCTCTGTGCTGACAGCTCAGAGCCTGGATCCTGCTTCAGATTCTGTATCGCCCTTTTTTTCTGCCCCTCCTCCACTCACACTCTGTCTCTCTGTCTCTTAAAAATGAATAAGTGTTAATTAAAAAAAAATAAACATTAAAAAAGTTAAATACTTTGACTTTATTTCAGCTCAGGTCATGATCTCATGGTTTGTGAATTTGAGCCCATGTTGGGCTCCATGCTGACAGTGCAAAGCCTGCTTGGGATTCTCTCTGCCTGTCTATGCCTCTCCCTCTTTTTCTCTCTGTCAAAAAATAAACTAAAAAAAAAAAAAAAAAAATACCCCCAAAGATGAGTTAATTAAAAAAAAAGAGGTTGATGCTGTTAGAAACCATAGCATTAAGTTGCTGACATTAAACATACTGTATTTATTATTTTCTATTAATCTTAATATCCTGTGGTGCTTTCAATATTTATAGGTGACCAAGGCATTGTTGAGGAACTGCTTGAAGATGACCCAGGCAAGGCAAAAGAAGCTGAAATTTTGCTTCACTACATTGAAAGGCAAATATTTAATTAATTTATTATTTCTAAAATATTTATTTAAGTAATCTTTACACGCAACATGGGGCTTGAACACATGATCCTGAGATCAAGAGTTATATACTCTCCTTTTTTTTTTAATGTTTTATTTATTTCTGAGAGAGAGAGAGAAAGAGAGAGAGAGAGAGAGACAGCATGAGCAGGGGAGGGTCAGAGAGAGAGGAAGACACAGAATCTGAAACAGGCTCCAGGCTCTGAGCTAGCTGTCAGCACAGAGCCCGACACAGGGCTCGAACCCACAAACTGTGAGATCATGACCTGAGCCAAAGTTGGGCGTTTAACTGACTGAGCCACCCAGGTGCCCCAAGTTACATACTCTTCTAACTGAGCCAGCAAGTCATGCTATGAAAGGCAAATTATTTTAAAAATGTTTATTTTCCATGTGAAAATGTTATCACATTTATTTCATATGTATTTAAATATTTTAAGTAAATGTTTAATATTATTTATTAAATGTATAGCACTTATTTAGCATCTTAATGAGTTATAGTCTTTAGATTTTGTATTTTTACAATCTTACTCTACTAAAAAAATTAGAAAATAAATTAGAATTTAAAAAAATACGTTGATTGTATAAGAAATATTAGGTTGGTAGTCTAGGAAATTTTTCAAAGATTATTGGTGGCCCTTAGTGTTGATTTAAATTTTGCGTATACCATATTTTTTTGCATTTCCTAACAATCAGCCTGATGTTACAAAATTTTTTTGAGAGTATCTTCTTGAGTCAGATTATCCTAACCAATTTAGTCATTTTTCCCCTTCATCATTTCTATCCTATGATATTTTAAAAAGGTATATTTCTTCCTCATACTTAAGTTATTATATATAGTGCACAATAGAGGCTTAAGGAGATCTAAGACTTTATTCTTTAAGAGATTAATTCATACGCTATGAGGCCAGTATGTAAGGAACATATGTAATATTCCTTGTCTCATATGTTAAAGAATTTTGTTTTAAATTTATTTCTAGGAGAGAGAGAGAGAGACAGCGTGAGCAGGGGAGGGTCAGAGAGAGAGGGAGTCACAGACTGAAACAGGCTTCAGGCTCTGAGCTGGCAGCCAGCACAGAGCCCGACGCGGGGCTCGAACCCACGAACCGCGAGATCATGACCTAAGTGAAAGTCGGACGCTTAACCGACTAAGCCACCCAGGCGCCCCTGTGTTAAAGAATTTTTAATTGATTGATATGGTACAAAGAAGGGGCAAAGATCATTTTGGGACAGCACCAAAGCCTCTTTTATTTCCTTACACTGTATGCTTCTTCAAGTCTACCAGCTTTAAACAGGAGAGAAGAAACCTTGTTGAAGCTAAAAGTTTTATGTATTTTGTTTATTAGTATTACTTTGGTGTTTTTTTCCTCTAGGGTTCAAATTTATTTGCAGCACTGTAAATCCTGTTTGCCATAGTTTTATTAATTGTAGCGTAAGGATTGGTTTGAAGACATTTTGTCCTGGGAAGAAGAGTAGAGATTTAAGTTACCTGAACTATTATTTTTTTCTTCTTGTGTTAGTCTCATATTTAATTGGGAGTCTGATGCCTGGCAGAGCAATATAGGCTTCCGAATACCAAGGATACCTCTTGGTCTCCAATTCTGTAGCTGTTGTGTTTCAGTTACTATTTCCCGTATGTTGAATCTCTAAGCAGGTTGTCCTTCTTTCCCCAATATCTCTTTTCATCTAGAGACAATATGAGAGGAAAAAATCTGAGTTCATTGTAAATTCAGTACAACTTCTTTCCATTTTCTATGTCTTGCAATATGTGCTATAGGAATAAAGTACAGGTGAGGTTCAAAGTTTACAAAAAATGACAGAATATTACAGAAAGAAGTGAAAGAACATTTTTCAGAATGAATGAACCTAGTTGTAGATTTTTGTTTTTACAAATAGTTTATTGTCAAGTTAGTTTCCATATAACACCCAGTGCCCATCCCCATAGTTATAGATTTTCTATATTACTGTGTTTAGTCTGTTATAGAGATTTCTAATCATGTTTTTGTGTGTACTATTACAATGTCTAATGAAATGCAATGGTTGTAGGTTCAATGAATTAATGTCACTTGGTGAATATGAAAAGGCAGCTTGTTTTGCAGCACACAGTCCTAGAAGAATTCTTCAAAACATTGGGACAGTAAATAAATTTAAGGGTAAGCACTTTTATTTGAACTTTATGTACGGATACAAATTGTACTTTCCCCCCCTGATAGAATGGAGAGAATATGGAACTAGGAAACTAAAGATCTAGGCTTCCAACCTTATTTCTGCCATTTACTCAGTATCTTTAGCTGTCACACTGAAGAATTTGATTAGATTTTCTAAATTAAATGAAGAAACATTTCAAATATACAGAAATGTATGAAGAAACATACAGCAGCCATGTACTTACTGTCAAGATTTAATAAATGTTAATATTTTGTCAAATTTGCTCTAATTCCTTTTAAGACATCTTTGTTGTTGTAAATTGACATACATACAACACATTGTACATATTTATAGTACACAGTTTGATAAGTTTTGACATTTGTATCACCCAAAAGTTCCCTCATTGCTCTCAGTTATCTATCCCTCTCTCTGACTCATCCTTACCCCTCCCATCTCCCTCTCTCCAGCCACTTCCCCTTAGTGGCAAATGTTAGTTAGCTTTCAGTCACAGTAGATTACTTTGCATTTCCTAGAATTTTATATAAATGGAATTACATAGTATGTGATCTTTTTTGACTGACTTCTATTCAGCATTATTATTTTGAAATTCATCCATGTGTTGTATCTATCAATAGTTCATTCTTTTTTATTGTTGAGTCGTTTTCCATTGTGTGAATACAAATCCTTTATCAGATATATGATTTAAAAATATTTTCTCCCAGTCTGTAGTTTGTCTGTTCATTCTCTTAGAAGTGTCTTTTTAAGTTTATTTATTTATTTTTGAGAGAGAGCGCACACATGCACTCCTGTGAGTGTGTGTGCGCTGGAAAAAAGAGCGAGAGAGATTGAGAGAGAGAGAGAGAGAGAGAGAGAGAAAGAACAGGAATATGGGTGGAGCAGAGAGAGAGAGAGAGAGAGAGAGGGAGAGAGAAAATCCCAAGCAGGCTCCACACCGTCAGCACAGAGCTGGACATGGGGCTCAGTCTTACGAATAATGAGATTATGACCGGAGTTGAAATCAAGAGTTGCACACTTCACTGACTGAGCTGTCCAGACACCTCCTAGGAGAAGTTTTAAATTCTGTTGAAATCCAATTTGTGAATTTTTTTTCTTTTATTGATTATGTTTTTAGCATTGTACATAAGAAATCTGTGTCTAATCTACAGATTTTAATTCCTATTACTTCTTTTGGTAAGGATTTTATGATTTTAAGTTTACATATAGTGTACGTATGATTCAGTTTGAGCTAATTTTAATATGTGATGTAAGGTATGGTCAAAATATTTTTTTGCCTATAACTATCCAGTTTGTTCCTGGATAGTTGACTTTTTTCACATAATTGCTTTTGTACCTTTGTTGAAAATCAATTGTCCATATATTTTAGGTCTAAACTGTCTCATTGATCTATTTGTTTATCTTGATGCTATCACTAAATACAACATCTTGATTACTATTGCTTTATAGTAAGTGTTGAAATCAGACAGTGTTAGACTTCAAACTCTGTTTTTCTTTATCAAATTTAATTTGGCTCTTCTGTTTCTTTCATATTTCTATTTAAATATTTAGAGTCAGATTGTTAATTTCACAAAAAGTTCTGCTGGGGATTGCATTAAATCTATAGATCAATTGGAGGAGAATAGACACAGAACAATATTGGTTATTTGGTTCAATGAACCCATAAACTTGGTATATGTCTCCATTTATTTAGTCTTCAAAACTTTCTTTCATAATTGTTTTATAATTTTCAGTTTTCAGGTCTTTTTTTTAACATTGCAAATTTTAGTATTTTACTTAAAAATTTTCAGATATCCGTGGGGCACCTGGGTGACTCAGTTGGTTGAGTGTCCAACTCTTGATTTCAATTCAGGTCATGGCCCCAGGGTCATGGGATGACCCTACATCAGGCTCTGTGCTGAACGTGGAGGCTGCTTGAGATTCTCTCTCTTTCTCTCTCTGCTTCTGTCCCCAACTCACACTTTCTCTCTCTCAAGCTTAAGAAAAAAAAAATATAGACATCTTACAAATACCCAGGAACTCTTTCTTGGGATATGTTTTGAAATTGGTGAAGTTAAAAGTGATATTAGTATATTCCTAAGGTTTTTTCCTCCTTCACTGGATCTGCTCAAAGTATGGGTTATAAGTTTTAGTAGAAATCAGAGATTGCAATTAATACTCTAATAGATGTAATTACCAGCTAAATTGGAAAACAGCCATCTGTTATTACTTTTCTAAGTATGTGGATGTTATACTGAGAAATTCACCAATATTAAAAAAGAGAGAGAAATTCACCAATATTAGACAGGTGGTACTTAATTGAGTGTTGCTCAGAATTTAAAAGGTCCTTTTATTTTAAAACTACATTACATTTTTAAAAGAGGAGGTGCTCAGAAGGAAATAAAGAGGTATAAATAGAGGAGACATAAACTCAATGGAGCTTACAGATACAGATAGTTTTTCTGCTTACCTTCATTTTAAGTGGAAGTTTTTGATGTCAAATATATACAGATTGTTTTTCATAGATTTTCCCCTAAAAACCCTTTAAATTCAACAGTTTGAAAATAATGTTCTTTTATGTTTATCTGAACATGAAAAATTTGTTGCCCCACACATAATGCATATGATCATATATATTTATAGATTTTGCTTGGCTGTGAATTGTGTGTAAATGGCCCATCTCATACTTTTAAAAGCACAATTTTCAGTATTTTATCCTAGTGGATGTAACAGAGTCTAATTTTATAGTTTTTATTCAGTGAACTCAAAGTCAAGAAACCATTCCAACAATCACTTACAATTTGATAACTGATTATCAGGTCATGTTACCCTGCAGAAGTGTTCTTACATCATGAATGATGACATTGTGCATTTTGGGCATTAAACTTAAGATTTATAAGTCTGAGATTTAAATTGGTCTTCATAAAAGTAGCCAAAGCCTAAAGAATGTGATGACAGAAGAGGATGCTACCACAGAGCCTTTGCAGTTTTGTGAGAGACACAGGAACAATGAAAATTAAGTGATTTTTTAAAATCTGTGTTTAGGACTTGTGCATCTTTTGTTAGATTTATTTTTAAATATTTTTGTTATATGATTATAATGTTTATTTCACATTCCAAAGTTGTTTGTTGCTAGTATACAGAAATATAACTGACTTTTATATATTGATCTTTTATTCTGTGACCGCTTTAAAGTTACTTATTCTAATGCTTTTATTGTGTATTCCTAGAATTTCTACATAATCATGTCATCAGCTAAGAAAGAGTTCTACTTCTTCGTTTCTAGTATGGATGCTTATTATTTCTTTTACTTGTCTTAGTGCAAATAAAAGAAATTCCAACACTTTCATTACAGTGTTGAATAGAAGTGGTGAGAGCAGATATTATTGCCTTGTTTTTGATCTTAGAGATAAAGTATTTAGTTTTTCATCATTAAGTATATTAGCTATAGATTTTTCATGGATGCCCTTTATGAGGTTGATGAAATTCCTCTCTATGGTTGGAGAGAATTTTTATCAGGGATGAATGTTAGGTTTGCCAAATACTTTTTTTGCATTTATTGAAATGATTGTGTGGTTTTTGTCCTTTAGCCTATTAATATAACTTATTACCTTCCTGGAGAAAACTCCCTGATTTTTAAATAATTTTATTATAACTGCAGAGTTGCGTAACCATTGCCATAACTTAATTTTAGAACATTTTCATCCTTCTAAAAATAAATCTTGAACCATTAACTCCTCATTTTCTATCCTCTCCTAGCTCTCCAGACCCTAAGTAACCATTAATCTACTTGCTGTCTGTATGGCTATCCTTATTCTGGACCTTTCATATTAATAGGATTATACAAAACATGTCTGTTTGTTTGTTTGTTTATTTAGGGATTGATTTCTTTCCCTTAGCATGTTTTTGAGGTTTGTTCTTGCTGGAACGTGACTATTCCATTGTAGGATACATACTGCATTTTGTTCATCCATTTGCCAGCTGATAATAATTTGGGTTGTTTTTACTTTTTGGCTATTATGAATAATGCCGCTGGGGACATTTGTGTACAAGTTTTTATGTGGAAATTTGTTTTTATTTCTCTTGGGTGATTCCTAGGAGGGGAATGGCTGGGCTATATGGTAAGTTTGTGTTAACACTTTTAGGAAGTGCTAAACTGTTTGCACTATTTTTCATTCCATCAACAATATATGATGATTTCAACTTCTTCACATTCTTACCAGCATGTCTGTCTTTTTGATTATAACTTTTCTAATCCATGTGAAGTGGTATCTTGTTGTGGATTTATTTACTTGTTTGTTTATTTTTAAAAAATTTGAATTCCAGATAGTTAACATACATTGTTATATATTAATTTTGAGTGTACAATATAATGATTCAACAATTCTATATATTACTCAGTGCTCATCAAGATAAGTCTTCTGTCATTGTGATATTGATTTGCATATCCCTAATGACTAACAGTGTTGAACACCTTTTCATGTGCTTATTGGCCGTTCTTTGGAGAAATGTCTATTGTGTGTCCATTTTAAAATTATGTTATTTGTGTTTTTATTATTAAGTTGTAAGAGTTCTTTTTATATTGTGGATAAATATATCAGACAGATGATGTGCAAATACGTTCTTGCAATCTGTGGATTTTCTTTTCACTTTCTTTTTTTTTTTTTTTAATGTTTTTTATTTATTTCTAGGAGAGAGACAGCATGAGTAGGGGAGGGTCAGAGAGAGAGGGAGTCACAGACTCTGAAACAGGCTCCATGCTGGCAGTCAGCACAGAGCCCGACGTGGGGCTCAAACCCATGAACCGTGAGATCATGACCTAAGCGAAAGTTGGACGCTTAACCAACTAAGCCACCCAGGCGCCCCTTCTTTTCACTTTCTTGATGGTGGTTTTTGAAGCACAAAAGTTTTTAATTTTGATGGAGACTAATTTACCTTCTTCTCTTCTATGGCCGTGCTTTTGGTCTTATATCTAAGAAATCTTTGCCTAACTTAAGATCCTGTGTTTTCTTCTAAGAGTTTTATGCATTTAGGTCTGTGATCTACTTTGAGTGAATTTTTGTGTATGGTGTGAGGTAGTGGTCCAGATTCATTCTTTTGCATATAGATACCTACTTATCCCAGCACCATTTGTTGAAAAGACCATTCTTTATCTGCTGAGTTGTTTAGCCCCTTTGTCAAAAGTCAATTGACCATAAATGTTTAGAGTATATTTCTGGACTCTATTATATTTCTCTAGGTATCCATCCTATGTCCATATCATACTATTTTGATTACTGTAGCTTTGTAGTAGGTTTTGAAATTAGAAGTGTGACTCCATGTTTCTTTTGATTAGTTTTAGCATGGTATATCTTTTCCCATACTCTTACTTTTGATCTATTTTTGTCTTTGTATTTAAAGTCATAGTTTTCTACATGGACCCTGATGTTTATAGCATCATTATCAACAATAGCCAAACTATGGAAAGAGCTCAAATGTCCATCAACTGATGTGGTATATACACACAGTGGAATATTACTCAGCCATCAGAAAGAATGGAATCTTGCCATTTGCAGTGATATGGATGGAGCTAGAGTATATAATGCTAAGTGAAATAAGTCACAGAGAAAAATACCATATGATTTCACTCATGTGGAATTTAATAAACAAAACAGATGAACAAGGGCAAGGGATAAGAAAAAGAGAGGGAAGCAAACATGAGACTCTTAACTATAGAGAACAATCTGAGGGTTGATTGAGGGAGGTGGGCAGGGGATGGGCTAAGTGGGTGGTGGGTGTTAAGGAGGGCACTTCTTGTGATGAGCACTGTGTTATTTTTAAGTGATGAATCGCTAAATTCTACACCTGAAACCAATTTTACCATATGTGTTAACTAACTAGAATTTAAAATAATAACTTGAAATAAAAATAAAAAACAAGCAAACAGAAAAATAAAGTCAGTGTCTTCCAGGTAACATATACTTACTTGGGCTCTACTTTTTTTATACACTCTGACAATCTTTGCTTTTCAGTTGGGGTGTTTAGATCACTTACATTTAATATGATTGTTGACATGATTGCGTTTTATTTGTTTTCTATTTTTTCTTATTTCTATTTTTCCCCCTCTTTTTCTGCCTTTTTTTGGATTAGTTGAATTTTTTCATGATTCCAATTTTCTCCTTTGCTGATTATAAGCTATAACTCCTTGTTGTTTTATTTTGGTTGTTGCTTCAAGGTTTATAGATCATAATGTTTACTTCTCATACTCTACCCTCAGATGATGTTATATCACTTCATGTATTATATAGAAACAGTATGCGTATAAATACTTAAATTCATAGGATATACAATTTCTGGTCTTCATTCTTTTGTGCAGATTCATATTTCTATCTGGTATTATTTTCCTTCTGCTTGAAAGACTACTTTTAACATCTCTTACAGTGGTCTGCTGGTGGTATATTCTTTCAACTTTTAAAAGTTCCATGTGGTACAGCGACTGGGTGGCTCAGTTGGTTAAGCGCCCGACTTGGGCTCAGGTCATGATGTCACGGTTCATGGGTTCAAGCCCTGCATCTGGCTCTCCGCTGACAGCTCAGAGCCTGGAGCCTGCTTCAGATTCTGTGTCTTCCTCTCTGTCTGCCCCTCCCCCGCTCATACTCTCTGCCCATCCCCACTCGTACTCTCTCTCTCTCTCTCTCTCAAAAATAAACATTGAAAAAATTTTTTAAAAAGTTCCATGTGGAGGCTCTTAGGGAGATTACACTGTATATTTCTCTCCTATTTGCTAGGTTGCTATTGACAACTTTTTGCATTCCTTGGTTGAACCACATCACTCCAATCTCTGCCTCTGTTTTCATATAGCATGTAATATTTAGTTGTTATCAACAATGTAAAGTTTAATTCATAAGCATTATTAAACATTATCAGTATGTAATTTTAGATTGAAATTTTTTGAAACTGCAAAGAGATGAAAATAATAATATGAAGTAAGAAAAAGCAAACTGTTACTTAAAGTATTCAACTCAAAAAATTTTCTTCTCTCTGTAGCTATTGGAAAAATTAGAGGAAAGCCTTTTCCATTACTCTTATTTTTTGAAGCCATCTTTAGCACAAGTCAAGCATGCAGACGTCCTATTAATGCAGAACTGACCGTGGAAGGAATCAAATGTGGATTATCTGAAAAACGTTTAGATTTAGTTATCAATTGGGTCACCCAGGAACGGTAAGCAAAATTAAGCTTTTGACTTAATTTTGATATTTGGTTAATAAGGTTGTTAGTTCTCAAGATTTCAATAGTTTTTATCAACATATTGTTTGAACATTTAGCTTAGGTCTTTATTGCACTTAATCCATTAGAAAGGATTTACTAAGCAATCATGGAGTAATGGGGCCTAGTCACATAAGCCCAGATCAGGAGTTGAGTAATGGTGGTTCATGGGATGATTCATGACCCGTGAATTCATCAATCAGAATAGAAAAGGATTAATCAGTATCATGCTACTCAGAGGGATAAGTCAGGAACCTAGATCCAGATAGGTTATGGGTACATGTAAAGGATATACCTAGGAGAAAACTTATAAGCAGGATGGATGTGGACCAAAGTTGCATTTAGAATATACAAACCAGGGGTGTCTGGGTGGCTCAGTCCATTAAACATTAAACTCTTGATCTCCTAGTTCATGGGATTGAGCCTGGTGTCGGGCTCCATGATAAGTGTATAGAGCCTACTTGAGATTCTCTCTCCCTTTCTCTCTGCCCTTCCCACCCATCTCTTTGTCTCTCTCTCTTAAACTAAATAAATAAACATTAAAAAAAATAAATAAAAAGAACTATATACCAGCAAGGACACGCAGGAAACAGCTTCTTGGAGTTGGGTTTCGGTATAGATTGGCAGTTTGTACTAGAACTTCCTTAGGTTGGATTTCCTAGAGCTGAAGCCTCAGACAGGAATTTGTGTGTACATGATTGATAGTGGGTGAACTTCTCAAGAAAACCCTATAAGGGAGTGAGTAAAGCAAAATAGGGAAGAGTGTGTTTGCTTGTGTGTTCGGGAAGCCAAGAAAGGATGTGGTCTCAGGCAAGTTCTAACCTTGGTCTTATTTGTCGAGGGATGGATCTGGAGCATAAACCACACCAAAGAGCTATCCCCTCTGAGGCAAGGGACCAGTCTTTTGTGTCTCTCTATTAGTTTCTATTAGGGCTGTAGGCTGCCTGGATAGAGTGTAACTTCCTAGGCATGGTGGCTCCCACCAGCAAAGGGCAATTTGCTATAGAAGGGAAGGACATGCTATAGAAGTGAGCCACTGACAGCCAACACCCCAAGCAGCTGGGGAAGGGTATGCTCTCTCAGTAAGGAGTGTCTTAGCAGGACATTAAAACAGCATCCACTGTAGTCAACCATTTGTACAACACAAATGTATTTTCTTCTCACATTAATTTCACTCCATCTGGGCACAACTTCTCTAGGATTCTGTGGTTATAATTCTGGGGGAACCTTATAATAGGAGGGTTAGTGGAATGAACTATAGCCCTTGTCATGACAATTGATCCTAGGGCTGTAATTTGTTTTTTACAACTTTATTAAGATAGAATTTATGGACAATAATCTCTACATATTTAAAGTGTACAATATGATAAGTTTTTGGAAAATGACATTGTGAGGATATAATTGACATAAACAGTACATATTGATAGTGTACAGTTTGACAAGTTTAAAAAATTTTTTTAAATGTTTTTATTTATTTCTGAGAGAGAGAGAGAGAAACAGCGTGAGCAGCGGAGGGTCAGTGAGAGAGGGACACACAGAATCTGAAGCAGACTCCAGGCTCTGAGCTAGCCATCAGCACAGAGCCCAACGCGGGGCTTGAACCCACAAACTGTGTGATCATGACCTGAGGTGAAGTCGGACACTTAAACGACTGAGCCACCCAGGTGCCCCAAGTTTGACACATTTTGACATATATATATACACCCATGAAATCATCACCACAGTCAAAGATAATCAACCTCATTCCAACCCCCACCCCCATCTCCAGGTAACCACTGATCTACTTTCTGTCACCTTAGATGAGGTTTCATTTTCTAGAATTTTATATAAATGCAATTATACATTATGTATTCTCTTGTTGCTCTGGCTCTTTGGCTTTAATTGAGATTCATCTACATTAATTGTTACTCATCTTTCTCCTCTATCATCCAATTTATATTCTTCTCACTCTTACACTTTTATTGGTCTTGATGACTTGTTTGGTAGGATGACTGTGGTTGCCATGCTGTCAAACCATGATTTACCCACTAACAGTTCTTAGTTGGCCTGGGACTACCCAGTGATACCCCAGTAGATCATCTACCACCTATAACAAGCAACTATATACTATTCCAAAAGTGCCTACTGAGTCCTGCTAAAGTTGGAGTGTTTATCCAGGGAACATCAATGACTGTGGAACTAGAACTGCTCAACATGAACTGGATTCTGACAGAAACACCAAGTCATGAGGTCAGGTGGGCTCTGAGAGTCCATCTAAAATCAGGTACAATCAAGATGATGCTCAAGCAGATCCAGAGCACACAAGTTAGCTTCAGGAATAGGTGGCCCAGAACTCATGTCAACTACCACCAACTGACCAACACTACTTCCACACTCACACATATGGCCTCATGCAGGGGTGGGGTAACCTAAAACCAGCAGGCAAGGAAGAAAAAAACCAGACTTGGTTCACGGGTGGTTCAGGTTGTGTCCAGGTGATGATAGCTTGTCATTCCGTCTTTTGAAGACGTAGCAATGTCCTTCAGGATGAAATGTACACTTTAAACCAGTGACGTTTATATGGGGTATCTCCAGTAGGTAGAATACTTGCCTCTGGGAGAGAAAAGAGTGGCTCTGCTCAGCTGTCATTCTCAGTAACCCACTTGGGGGAATCAGGGTTCTCCACAGAAACAGAATCAATAGGATATATATAAATACACACACCAATGAAGAAATTGGCTCATGTGAATATGGAGGCTGATAAGTCCTAATATCTGCAGTCAGCAAGTTAGAGACCCAAGAGAGCTGCCAATGGTGTAAGTTTCAGGCTAATCCAGACCCAAGAAGAGCCAATGTTTCTGTTTGAGTCCAAAGGTAGGAAAAGACTGATGTCCTAGCTAAGCTGTCAGGCAGGAGGAGCTCTCCCCTTATTTGAGAGAGGGTCAGCCTTTTTTATACCCTTCAGGCTGTCAACTGATTGGATAAGAGCCATCTACATTCACAACAATCTGCTTTATTCAGTCTATTGACTCAAATGTTACTCTTTTTCAAATACATCCTCACAGACTCACAATGAATAGTATATAACTAAATATCTGGGTACTCTGTGAGCCAGTCAGGATGACACATAGAATTCCCATGCCTGCAAATTTAGATTATGTAAGTCATAATCAACTTTGATTATCATGAGAAGGTACGATTGTTGTTACATAACAGGGCAGAGAGGAATATATTTGGCATTCAGGTTCCCTGTTCCCTTAAAGAGAGAATGATAATTGGATTTGAGTGCATGTCATTTACTGATAGACTACTTGAGAAATACTGTAAGGGAAGGAGTGAGAAGAGATAGGGAAGGGGAAAGAGCCAAACAAGGATGTGAACTCAGGTAAAGTCTAGTATTAGCTAATATAACAGGGAGAGGACTATGGAGCATAAGTTATACCAGAGTTGCTTCTTTTTGAATTATGGTACTGGCCTTTTATATTCCTTACTAATCAGTTGTCAGTTCTGGACTACTTGAAGGTTGAAAGATAGGCATAATTTTCTGGACAAGATAGCTAGTCAGCTGAGGGCAATTCTCTAGGGAAGTCAACAGCTGTGATCTGTTAGTAGTCATTTGGGGAAGAGTAACTGGTCCAGTAAAGAGGACTAAAACAGTGTCTGCCTACTTATGAAGATCAAGCTACTTTTGCTGGGTTTGTGTGGACGTGGGTTGGGCTATGAGTATGGAAAGGCAGAGTGAGGAAAGGCTTGTCATCTGTCTGGTAGCCGTGGCCTGCTTATTTTGCAGTCTAAGAGGTATGCTTACTTGCTTCTGGATGCATACAGACATAGGCTACATATTAGAGAGTAGTTACAGTTCTCATCTTTTTTTTTTTTTTTAAATGTTTTTTATTTATTTCTGGGAGAGAGAGAGACAGCGTGAGCAGGGGAGGGTCAGAGAGCGAGGGAGTCACAGACTGAAACAGGCTCCAGGCTCTGGGCTGGCAGTCAGCACTGAGCCCGACACGGGGCTCGAACCCACGACCCGCGAGATCATGACCTGAGCGAAAGTCGGATGCTTAACCGACTAAGCCACCCAGGCGCCCCCCCAGTTCTCATCTTTAATAAGTATGTCATAAGGGAGATGAAAGGACTAATGTAAGCACTCCCTAAATAAAAAATTCATGATTTCGAAATGTCCCAGACCTAAAATGGCAAGTTTGCATACTGGTGCCTACTGCCACTCGTTCCAAGTTCACCATTTCCCCTGCATGACACAGGGGAGTCCTAAACTGTGCTGGATTGATGGCACTATTGTTTACCAGTGTAAAGTATCTTTTTTCCACCCCGTCTTGTATGGCCTTCATTAATTCTGTTTTAGGAAACTTCTTCATACATATACCTACATATACCTTTTTTTTTTTTTTTTTTTACTCTTTCCCTCTTTTTCTACCTGGTCACAGCTTCTATACCGTCTACAAAAAGTACTTGTCAGGGAGCACTGGAAATGGTTCAGACATGAGAACACCATTAGAAAGTATATGTTCATTAACACCTAGTGCAGAGACATTTGAGACAAGATTAATTTTCCTACATATACTAATGGTTCTTGGCCAATTCTACCTCTTAATTATAAGAATTTAAATTCTTATGCAATTCCTTGATGGCATAAATTTGGAAAATATCACCACTTTGAAGGATCCTGAGATGATATAACAGAATCCTGAAGATAGTTCACATTCTTTATTCTTAGCCTCTGTCCTCTGGTCTCTGACTTCAATGACCTGACCTCTACCATATGGCTGCCTTAAAAGCTCTACAATTCTTTTCTCAAAGCCATGCACAGAGCCAGCCCTAAAGCAGCCTGGGTTATAGACTAATCTTGGCTCTCTTAGTCATTTTTACCCGGGGGAAAGTCTAATCATTTGTCTCAGAAAGCCTAAATTTAAGAAATGCTATTTTACTGGCATTAGCTCTCTAAATTGCAGACCTTGCTCCCAGAAGAGGAAAACTATCTTCTGAAATACTAACATGACAAACCTAATCCTACAAAATAACAGTAAATAAATATCAAGAATAGATTTAGTGATTATATATTACCTTTATTTTGGCTTTTAAAAATCCATAATCTGGAGCACCTGGCTGGCTCAGTCAGTTAAGTGTCTGACTTGGGCTCAGGTCATGATCTCCACGTTCTTGGGCTCCAGCCCCGCATCAGGCTCTGTGCTGACAGCTCAGAGCCTGGAGCCTGCTTTGGATTCTGTGTCTCCCTCTCTTTCTCTGCCCATCCCCCACTTGTGTTTTTTTTTTCTCTCTTTCTCTCAAAAATAAATAAACATTAAAAAAAATCTACAATCTGGTTTATAATCAAATATACCTTAGTTTACTAATTGAGTTAAACACATTTTATTTTTAGTCATTTGTATTCTCCAGAGCCAGTCTAGAGATCTTTTTAGAATTGGAAGAGAGAGCCAGGAACGTGGCTTTGAGAAAACAGAAAGAGGGGCATAATGAGGTGATTGGGGGGAAAACACAGATGGAGTTTCCCAGGCTCATTTCCGACCAGTGCAGTGTGCTTGACTACCTCCCTTTCCCCAGGGCTAGAATTCCTGTTTTTCTTTCCCCTGTTTTCCTTCAGGGCCAATTCCATTCTTTTGGGGCTTGACCCTCTTCCTCCCATTTGATAATTTTTCTTTTTAATCATACATCATTCTTTTGGAAAGTGACAAACCAAGACAGCAATCTCAGTCCTCAGCTCTGGCTTCTCTCAGGTGGAACAGTGCATGATAGTGATGACCTCTTAAAAAAATAAAATAATAGTAGTAATAAGAGAAAGAAATACTAAAATACTGGTATTATCATCTTGCTCTAATTATACAGTCACTAAAAAGACTGAAACAATTCATTGTTCAGCCATAGAAAACATCGTGGCTATAGCTACCAAAACCTATGTTTTGGTACTAAAATGTAGAAGTCAGGTGAATTGCTTACTAAATAATTGACTTATAGTTAGAAGCTGCCTTTTGATTTTAGACCTACTTCTCTTTGGCCCAATAAACAACCCCCAATAAAGATGACAGTTTTCATTTACTGAATTTTCAGTAAACAGACATTTTGTAGGGATTTCAGGATTTCATTTTAATGTGACTGGTATTTTGTTACATGTGAACAGATACCAATATTATGTCATTGCTGTAGCTATTAATTAAAAATATAACTAAAGCACAGTTTCCATACAACCAGTGATTGGAAGTAATATCATTAATCATACCCAAATGTGTTTTGGCCTATGCTGATCATTTTTAGGAGTTAATGTGCAGATGGTTCACTCCCATTGTGTTTGAAGATGGTGCATTAAAATGTGGACAAGGGTGGGGGCGCCTGGGTGGCTTAGTCGGTTAAGCGTCCGACTTTCGCTTAGGTCACGATCTCGCGGTTCGTGGGTTCGAGCCCCGCGTCGGGCTCTGTGCTGACTGCCGGCTCAGAGCCTGGAGCCTGTTTCAATCTGTGACTCCCTCTCTCTCTGACCCTCCTCTGCTCATGCTGTCTCTCTCTCTCCTAGAAATAAATAAAACATTAAAAAAAAATAAAAATAAAATAAAATGTGGACAAGGGAATCCTATTCAATTGAGCCATCTCAAAAAAAACTACTTCTTCAGTCTATCCCAATTGGGACATCTTAAACCCTCCCCCCCCCCAGTTGTTTTTTATAATTCTATAACAATTTAAAAAATAACACTGATGTCACACATTTCTTGCAAACACTTGCAAGATCTGTCACTAATTTTGAGCTAAAATTTGTTGTCACTATCTTTAACCAACATTTAATGAGTTCTTACATTCTCCAGGGTTTAGAATCTGTGTAACTGCTGAGAACATTGAGATCCTCAATTATAAAATAATGTTTGTTTACCTTGTTATTTTAAGTCCCACCAGTATTTTTAGGAGAGTTTAAGCCATGTTTGTAGATTTTTGAAAAAACTTGAGTTCCGTTTCCCCACTCCCCTCAACACAAAAAAAATATGTGCTGATTATTTTTGTTCTTGTTGTTAAATCTTAGATGTGTTTAATTTCTCTTACATCAATTGCCTATTAACTTGAAATTCTTACAGACCATGGAAGATCCAATTCTACTATGCTGAATTTTTAAATATTTTATTCTCATCGACTCACCATGAACTCTCTCAAGTATCCCTATTGATGTGCTTGCTCTAGGCTCACATTTTCTGAGGAGGCTGGGGATGTCATTTATGATTACGGGGAGCAGGATACTTATAACAAGGCCAAGTGCCTGGCTTTAGCTCAGATTATCTACACTGAATGTGGCCTACACAAGAAAGCTCTTCATTGCCTATGTAAACAGGGTCAGATTTATGGGGCCATGGAATACATACAGCAGTTCAAGGACTTTACTTCCGGTAAGTGAAAAAGCCTACTTATTAGTATACATTTGAATTCTAGACTTTACTTGTAAGATCACACATGACAGTAGGCAATATTTTGGATTTACATTATAAAAATCTGTTTTGGGGCGCCTGGGTGGCTTAGTCGGTTAAGCGTCCGACTTTCACTTAGGTCATGATCTCGCGGTTCATGGGTTCGTCTGTGCTGACAGCCAGCTCAGAGCCTGGAGCCTGTTTCAGAGTCTGTCACCCCCTCTCTCTCTGACCCTCCCCAGCTCACGCTGTCTCTCTCTCTCTCCCCTAGAAATAAATAAAACATTTAAAAAAAAATCTGTTTTATGTAGACTAATGAGTAGATTTTTGTAATTTTCAGTGAAAACAGTTAAGCTGGAACTGATTGTCTTTCATGCTAGACATTCAAATGCATTATATATTTCTTCAATATGTAATCCTGAGACATACAATTTTTGTCTGCTTGTTTGTTTTTAACAAAATCCTAACTTTTATTGAGTACCTACTATGTGCCAGACTCTGAATGGGTTGTTCTCACACCGTTCTAGCCAGTCCTCACAATAGTCCCATCAGGTAGTCATACAAGTGGAGATGCTGAAGCCCATTGAAGGAAGTGAGCCAAGGCTTACACAGAAGGAACACTGAGCCATGGGAGTGAAGTTCGCCAAGTCCTCCATGCTGATGGAGGGTCCTGGGTAGCTGTGGCCAGCCCAGTCAGAGTGGTCTTTGCCATAAGGTCTGTTGTTGATGAGGAGATCTTGTTTTTCTCCCATGTCTGGCAGAGGCATGAGGGACTGAGCCTCAGGCTGTCCTGAGGGGTGGCCCTGGCAGCCTTCAAGGTGGGTGTCTGGGTGTTGCTGCTTCTCTCCCTCTGAAGTACACAATTTATTTTGCAGATATTTTAGACCATGCTACTTAAAGAATTAAAAAAAAAAATAGCTGCACTTATTTGTTACATATAATATTCTAAGCTATAATATGAGCATTAAAAAAGAAGAACTAGTAAAATAATGTTCATTTCAAAATTTTGAAACACCTAGGTTACAAGTAGGCAGTGATCTGAGAGCATTGTCGACCGTAGGGTAACTATAGTTGAATGAGCTGATCTCTTAAGAATCTAGTTCAGTACCAACCTAAATGTACAGGCAGCCTGACCTCTCCCATATCCCAGGTCTATGTCTGAATTCTTATTTGCAGGCTATGTACCTCAATTCTAAGAAGTTACAAATAGCACAAAATACAGCACTTTTGGTTCATATTTTTCTGGGAAAGAGGATCATTTATGGCAGTTGAATCTGATTATTTTCAAACAATAAATTAAATTTTAATTAGAATCTATTTTTTAAAGTTATGAATTTCTTCATTTGTTATATAACAGCACACTTAAGTGATTCTGTAGTTTGGCTTTTTACTTGCACTATCTTAATTAATACTTACATTAACTATAAAGTAGGCTTTGTTATCATCCCTGTTTTATAGATTTAAAAAAAAACTTGCCACAGAGAGGCTAAGGCTCAAAGAGATAAGTAATTTGCCTATACACACATACGCACATAGCAATAGAACAGAATCTGGCATAGTAGGTTCTACTCAATATTATTCAAAGAATTATATATTTTATTTTTATTATCTAAGTATACAGATTCAGTTTCTGTTTTAAGTATTATTTTTCAACAGGTAAGAAATGATTTTAGTCAGTTGGGGTTTTAAAACTGGATGGAATATAGGTTTAATTTTTCTAGAATTTATATTGAGTGAAATGTGAAGTTTCTGTTTTGCTTGCAAAATTTGCCTTGCGTAAGTGCTTAGAAATGTGATTGGCTCATTATTGTATTGTTATATTCATGTTATAACCTAAAATAATCAAATATGTTATTATAATTTAAGAAGTAATAACACACTATATAATTAGAACCTTGATATTTATTCTCAGAATTTATTTAGCATGTCATAAGATAAAAATAATAACTTGAGAAAAATTAAGCTTACACAATAGAAACAATGTTTGAAACATTACTTTGCTGATTTTACTTTTTAATGGGAAACAACTACAGTTTTCCATGATATCATGGGGCTTTGGGGGACAGATTCAATTTGTTAATACTTTCTGTTTTCAGAAAAAAATGTTCTTTCTTAGATTTAGACTATCAGTTATACATTTTAAATTTAAAAACCAAAACCAAAACCACAACAAAACAAAAACAGAAGAATTCTAAGAAAGTTTTTGTTCCAAAAGTATAAATCTGACTAGAAGAGCATCTGTTTTAGGAATAAAAATTCTTCCCCCCTAATAATTTTTAGAATAAAGCCTGAAACGATTTGTTTGTTCACTTCCCCATTATCATTAAACAAGTGAATAAACCATATTTGAAACTGAGTTATTCTAGATGTGAGACTCTCAAACTTTTTAGTATCAGGTTTCTTTTACACTTCATTCATTCATTCATTCATTTATTACGTTTATTTATTTTTGAGAGAAAGAGAGTGAGAGAGCAGGAGAAGGGCAGCAAGAAGGGGCCAGAGGATCCGAAGAGGGCTCTGGTGCTGAAAACAGAGAGCCTGGTGAGGGGTTTGAACTCACAAACCATGAGATCATGACCTGAACTGAAGTTAGATGCTTAAGCCGCTGAGCCACCCAGCCGCCCCTCTTTGGCACTTTTAAAAAAGCATTGAACATCCCAAAGAGCTTATATTTATATAGGTTATATCTATTGACATTTATCCTATTTGAAATTAAAACAGAAAATTTAAAAATATTAATTCATTTAGGGGCGCCTGGGTGGCTTAGTCGGTTAAGCGTCCGACTTTCGCTTAGGTCACGATCTCGCGGTTCATGGGTTTGAGCCCCGCGTCGGACTCTGTGCTGACTGCCAGCTCAGAGCCTGGAGCCTGTTTCAGTCTGTGACTCCCTCTCTCTCTGACCCTCCCCTGCTCACGCTGTCTCTCTCTCTCTCTCTCTCAGGGAAAAAAAAATATTAATTCATTTAGAAATAACAATAAACCCATCACATGTTATCATAATAAAATATTTTTTATAAGAAATAACTTTTCTTTGGGGCACCTAGGTGGTGTAGTCAGTTAAGCATCCGACTCTTGATTTTGGCTAAGGTCACCATCTCAAGGCTTCGTGAGTTCAAGCCCTGCATCTGGCTCTGTGCTGACAGTGAGGAGCCTGCTTGGGATCTTCCTCTCTCCCTCTCTGTTCCTCCCCCATCTGCATGTGCTCTCTCTCTAAAATAAATCAATAAACTTGAAAAAAAAACATTTTTCTAAAACCAAAGAATTTCATAAAAAGTTGCATTTTCTACATTTTTGCAAATCTCTGTAGTATCTCGATTATTGTAAGATAGTTGATGTCTGATATCTGCTCCTATATTTAGTCTGCTGTAATACCACGTGTCATGTAGTCTTTGGAAAGCGCCACTGTGTATTTGTGAGAGAATGAAAATGAAAAGGTCAGTGTGCTTGACTACCTCCCTTTCCCCAGGGCTAGAATTCCTGTTTTTCTTTCCCCTGTTTCCCTTCAGGGCCAATTCCATTCTTTTGGGGCTTGACCCTCTTCCTCCCTTTCGATAATTTTTCTTTTTAATCATACATCATTCTTTTGGAAAGTGACAAACCGAGACAGAGCAGTCTCAGTCCTCAGCTCTGGCTTCTCTCAGTTGGACCAGTAGCAGGTGCTCCAGATTATGGATTTTTTTTTTTTTTATTTTTAATATAGTTTATTGTCAAGTTGGTTTCCATATAACACCCAGTGCTCATCCCAACAAGTGCCCTTCCCCATGCCAACAGCCCCCTTCCCCTCCCCCCCATCAGTCCTCAGTTTGTTCTCAGTATTCAAGAGTCTCTCATAGTTTGCCTCCCTCCCTCTCCCCCAACTGTTTTTCCCCCTTCCCCTCCCCTATGGTCCTGTTAAGTTTCTCCAGTTCCACATGAGTGAAAACATGGTATCTTTCTCTGCCTGACATATTTCACTTAGGATAATACCCTTGAGTTCCATCCATGTTGCTACAAATGGCAGATTTCATTCTTTTTCATTGCCATGTAGTATTCCATTGTATATATAAACTGCATTTTCTTGATCCATTCATCAGTTGGACACTTAAGCTCTTTCCATATTTGGCTATTAGCACATTCTTATCGATGTTTGTGATTGTCTTATGTATTTGGGTGTTTCTGAATTCAGTGCATAGACATTTATACTTGTTAGCTCTTCCTGATGGATAGACCCTGAAATTATTATATAATGCCCTTCTTTGCCTTTAAAATAAAAAATAAAGTCCAGTTTGTCTGATATAAATATGGCTACTCCAGCTTTCTTTTTGATGTCCAGTAGCATGATAGATGTTTTCCCATCTCCTCACTTTCAATCTGAATGTGTCCTCAGGTCTAAAATGGGTCTCTTGTAAACAGCAAATAGATGGATCTAATCTTTTTAATCCATTCTGCTACTCTGTCTTTTGATTGGAGCATTTAGTCCATTTACATTCAGTGTTATTATTGAAAAATACAGGTTTAGAGTTATTGTGTTCTCTGTTAGATTCATGCTTGTAGTGGTGTCTCTGGGACTTTGTGTTCCTTGCAACATTTCCCTCATAGGATCTCTTGTAGGGCTGGTTTAGTGATGATGAATTCCTCCATTTTTTGTTGGGATAAACCTTGATCTCTCCTTCAATTCGGAATGATAGGCTTGCTGGATAAAGGCTTCTTGGCTGTATATTTTTCCTGTTCATCACACTGAAGATTTCCTGCCATTCCTTTCTGGCCTTCCAAGTGTCAGTAGATAGGTCTGCTACTACCCTGATATGTCTCCCTTTGTATGTTGGGGCCCTTTTATCCCTAACTGCTTTCAGAATTCTCTCTTTGTTCTTGTATTTTGCCAGTTTCACTGTATGTCGTGCAGATCGATTCAGTTTACGTCTGTGGGGAGTTCTCTGTGCCTCTTGGATTTCAATATCTGTTTCCTTTCCCAGGTTGGGGAAGTTCTCAGGTATTATTTGTTCAAGTACACCTTCTGCTCCTTTCTCTCTCTCTCCTTCTGGAATTCCTATGATATGGATATTCTTCCGTTTGATTGTATCACTCAGCTTTCGAACTCTCCTTTCATGTTCCTGGACCAATTTCTCTCTCTTTTTCTCGGCTTCCTCTTTCTCTATAATTGTATCTTCTAATTCACGTATTTTTTCTGCCTTTTCAATCCGTGCAGTAGCCAACGCCTCCATTTTATTTTGTGTTGCATTTTTTAGTTCATCAGTATTTGCAACAATAATGGCTCGGATGTCATCCAAGCCCTTTTGAAGCCCAATGAGTAATTTTATGAGTATTATTCTAAATTCTTGTTCAGTTATGTTGCTTAGATCGGTTTTGAGCAGTTCTCTAGCTGTTATTTCTCCCTCGAATTTCTTTAGAGGAGAGTTCTTCTGTTTTGTCATTTTGGCTAGCTTTCTTTCTCGTTAGTTTTAAAAGCTTGTGATGTGTTCTGCCCGTGTGAGTGCTGCTATATTAATATTAAAGGAGGCTCATACACTGTCCAGGGCCTGGCCGTTCAGGAAGTCTTCTTTGAAGGGTGTCCCTTGGTCTCTCTTGTGACTTTGGTTTTATTTCTCTACTCGTAGTGATGTTTTGAACTCTCCACGATGTGCACTTTAGGTTTGTTCCTTGAAGTAGCCTGTGCCACAGGCGCAGAGGAGGCGGGCCGTCTCCCGTGCCTCACGCCCTCACTCCGTGCGTTCTTAATGATGCCACCCAACTTGCAATCCCACAAGCCAAGGCACTTCAGGGCAGGGAACTGGTTCCTCCTGATGCCGACCGCGTCCCTGGGGTACCACCTAACCTGGAGGGAACTTCCACTGTCCAGTGCCAGACCGAGGCCACCAGTCCAAGGAAAGCCCCACAGTTAGAGGTGGGATATCTCTCCGAAAGCCCTGCTTCTCCGCGAGCGCAGACGGGAAAGCCAGATTATGGATTTTTAAAAGCCAAATAACAACTTGGTATTTTTATGACCACAGTTTTGAATTTATAAACCCTAGACTGTATTTTGAAAACCATTGCTCTAGTTGTTTGTGATATATCACACTTGGCAAATTGGCCTTTATAATCTTATTAAAACAGAATATCTATGAAAGGGGAACCCTCTTTGTACTGTTGGTGGGAATACAAGTGGCTGCAGCCACTTTGGAGATCAGTATGGAGGTTTCTAAAAAAGTTAAAAAATAGGGGTGCCTAGGTGGCTCAGTCAGTTAAATGTCCAACTCCTGGTTTCAGCTCAGTTTAAGACCTCATGGTTTGTGAGTCTGAGCCCTGTGTCAGGCTCTGCGCTATTAACTTACCCTCTCTTCTGCCCCTCCCCTGCTCACACACACACACACACACACACTCTCAAAATAAATAAATAAACTCTTAAAAAATGTTAAAAATAGAACTACCCTATGATCTAGCAATTTCTATAGTAGGTATTTATCCAAAGGATACAAAAATACAGATTTGCAGGGTTATATGTACCCCAGTGTTTATAGCAGCATTTTCAACAATAACCAAACTTTGGAGAGAGCCCAAATGTCCATTGATTGATGAATGGATAAAGAAGATTGGTGTATACACAGTATATATACACAATGGAATATTACTCAGCCAACCAAAAGAATGAAATCTTGCCATTGCAACAATGTGGATGGAGCTAAAGTGTATTATGCTAAGTGAAAAAAGTCACTCAGAGAAAGAGAAATGCCGTATGATTTCACTCATATGTGGAATTTAAGAAACCAAGCAGATGAACATATGAAAGGGAGGGAAATAAACCACGAGAGACTCTTAAGGATAGAGAACAAGCTGAGGGGTGATAGAGGGAGGTGGAGGGGGGATGGGCTAGATGGGTGATGGGTACTAGGGAGGGTACTTGTTAGGATGACCACTGGGTATTGTATGCAAGTGATGAATCACTGAATTCTGCTCTTGAAACCAATATTCCACTATTTGTAAACTAACTAGAATTTAAATAAAAATGTGAAGAAAAAAACCCAGAACATCCATGAGATAAAAAATTATTAATAACATATGAAACTGGGGAAGAAATGATGAAATGGATTACAAAGTGTGGTAAGCAGAGGAGAAAGTTCATAGGATTTGAACTGTGTTCTTTCTAACTAGTTAGAGACCATATGATGCACATTTTTGAGTAAATATCAGTTAATTAATCAATTCAAAGAGAAGGGGATTTGAATACCTGATTGAATGAAACAGCAAAATGTGTGAGTTATGAACTGTTGGAAGCTGGGGGATGCTATATAAATAGCTTCCCCTTAGTGGAGGCCAGTTTGAGTGACCCAAATCATAAACTTCTAACTCTACTCTAGGGAAATTTTTAAAAAATTGTTTGACTTTATTGATCCAGAATTATATTCTGCTATTCCTTGCTTATTCTTTTATCATTTTTCTCTGTATTTGTGTGGTGTGCATGTGCATGCATGTGTATATATAAATACATACAATGCATGCACATGTATATTTATTATTTTGGAGGAGCATCACTAAAGATTGGAAGGTCATGGACTCTGGGGGATCAGATGAACTGTTCTACTTTATGTCATGTGTATAATTCTGGGAAAATTAACTTCTCAAAGCCTGTTTCCTCACTTTTAATGTGCGAATAATAATATCTCACTTATACTGACTATTAAATACAGTGATTTAATATAAGTAAATTCCCAGTAGAGTAAGTATGTGTTTAATAAACACTAGATTATCTTATATTGCCTGTGAAAAAAATTGCAAATTATGTCTGGTAGTTCTTAAAAGGCTTTCAGAAATTATTCTGAATACTGTCTCTGTTGTGACCAAAGACTATTTTTACTTGAAAAATTTTAGTAAGTTAATGCAAAGTTAATAAATTTAAGAATATAAGTCATGCCTATAGTACTAAATGAACTCAGTAGTTAACTAGTATATTAAACTGTTGCAGACTGTAGAGAATTCTTAAACTCATTTTCCACATTAAGCCATATGAAACTTCTTTTTTTTGAAGTCAAAAATGGTCAAATGTAGGCAACTTCATTCATATGGCTCAGCCTGTAGCTACTTGAACTGGCTCATGGTTTCTTAAAGTCTTCATTTTTGAGTTTCTAAATATTTCATATTTTTAGGGAAAAAAATCCAAGTCCCTTTTTCTGTGCTTTGCACTGAAAGAAAGAAATTATACTCATTGGGAGTTGGCCCAAGTATGAGCAACAAGATATAGACAAACACAATGCCGTTAGTTGGAACCTTAGAGATTGGAGATGCTAACACTTTTTTTATTGTTTATTTGTTTCTGAGATAGATAGAGAGAATGAACTAGGGTGGGGAGGGGCAGGGAGAGAGGGAAATCTAAAGCGGGCTAACAGCAGAGAACCTGCTGTAGGGCTCGAACTTACAAACCATGAGATCATGACCTGAGCTGAATTCAGATGCTTAACTGACTGAGCCACCCAGGCGCCCCAACGCTAGCACTTTTAAGATGCATAAACTGAAATCCAAAAGAATAAGTGACTGATGGAACTGTGGTTAGTTTACCAACCTAATTCTCTCCATTCTACCACAGTTCTTTGATCATTTGTTTTCCTGCTAGTTCTTGTTATAAGTAGTTTTCTTTAATTTTTTGCTATGCTGAGCATGATTTAAAAAAAAATTTAATGTTTGTTTATTTTTGAGAGAGAGGAAGAGAGAGAGAGAGAGATACAAGAGTGTGAGTGGGTGAGGAGCAGAGAGAGGGAGTCACAGAATCCCTCTCCAGGCCCCAGGATCTGAGCAATTAGCACAGAGCCTGATGTGGGACTCAAATTCAAGAACCCTGAGATCATGACCTGATCAAACTTAAGAACCTGAGCCGAAGTCAGACATTCAACCAACTGAGCCACTCAGGCACCCCATGAGCATGATTTTTTTTTTTCTTCTTGATTGAAGATAGTACTGTTGAATTCATTGAGAGCTTTAGGAGGACTGGAAAAAGAAATGTTGATTGGCAGGCATAGATATTAGCTGGTCCCAGTTTGTAGTTGATGTATCATATTAAGATGTTGAGACATAGTTTTTAAATTTTGCTTTCAGATGACCTGATGGAGCTAATAAAGTTATGTCCTCACACTGAATTAATTCACTGTCTCACTAGAGAATGGAACGGGAAACCACCATCTTTATCTTTCGGTCTTGCCATACTTCATCTATTCTCTATAGATATGAAAAAAGTTGGTATTGAGCTACTTCAAGACATAAGTAGAGGTGGAAACGGTAAGTATAGTAAACTGTTGTTGTAGCTGTTGTTGTAGAAGAAAAAGTAGTGGGTCATTTAGGGGAAGGTTCAAGATTACTATGTTTCAGTTAACTCATTCATCCTGAGTTCCTTGTTTGGAATTGACTTTAGGAGTTTATAAGTGTAAAATTACCGTGTCAGTAATAGTCTGCTGACAATAGTATTTGTTCTCGAGAGAACTACAAAGTCTCAGAGAGAATCTTTATGAAGCTTTAGGGGACTCTCTTAATAATTACACTAACACTACTACTAAAACCTTTACATATTTTAATAAATGTGTATAATTAGTAATTCTGTATATATTTTAAGTGTTATTTAGATATAATCTTTTTAAAAAAATGTTTATTTGTTTTGAGAGAGAGAGAGAGAGACTGCGAGTAGGGGAGGGGCAGAGACAGAAAAGAGAGAGAATTGCAAGCAGGCTCTGGGATGCCAGTGCAGAGCCTGGCATGGGACTTGAATTCACAAACTGTGAGATCACGAACTGAGCCGAAATCAAGAGTCCAGTGCTTAACTGACTGAGCCATCCAGGTGCCCCTAGAAATAATCTCTCTGTCTATATTAATCTTAAACCAAATATATATATATATTTATATATTTATATATATATATATATAAATGTCATTTACACATGATATTTACTCTGAACATAACTCTATAGTGGGATCAAGAATTAACTAATTACATCTCAAATTTCCTTCCCTTTCTCTAATATAGGAACCTGAGCAGACACCTTGATTTTAAATTATTATGTGGGGTTAAAGAATGAATAGCAGATTACATGACCATATTTGGGATGATAATTTTGAAATCATTATAGACATCAACTAAAATATTTTATTTGACAAAACTAATAATCATGGTAGAAATAAAATAAAGTGATGACAATATTTTAAAAAGGTATCTTCTTTCATTAAGTATCATAAGTAATGCAGGTAGATAAGAAATGAGTTCCCTAAATAAGTATATTCCAAAGGGGGTCACTGTAATTGATTTTCAAAAGTAAATAATCTCATTCATTTTCTTTAATAAACTCTTTCTTTTATATCCTTTGAAAAAGTATTTGTTATAGAAGTTCCATCATTAAGAGGTCTCTCTCCAGAGATAAGATGGAGGGTTTGCCAAAGAGATTTTTAAGCCCTTGGGCCAGCACTACTAGGGAATTTATAAAATAATTTGAAGGATCATGAAAATTAGACCTATAAGCCCTCAGTTACATGACAGTGTCTGATGGGACCTTACACATTCTGAAAAAGGCTGAGCCCTTATTCTTCTTTTTCTGAGCCCCCTTCCTTGTAACCTTCAACATCTGCTAACCCTACCAAGAAGGAGATGAGTAAAGGTGTGGGAATGTGAGAGATGGTAGAGGTTGACATGAGGCATAAAGAGGCTAATGAAAAAGGAGAAACTAACACTTGATTACTTACCACAAGTTGGATAAAGCACTCCACATTAAACTTCTAGGGAGCAGGTTTAATAGTAACTGAGTTGAAATGATATCCCTTTCTATTTTGGAAGAATTTTTAAATGTGGATTTTCAGATAAGAATAAGTACCATTCTATAATATTATAATTTTTTCCTTAGGTATAGTTGAACATCTTATGATAAATGATCCATTTTGCTCATTAGAAAACTGGCAAGAAGTGGCAAATATATGTTTACAGAATGGCTTTGACAAAATATCTAAAGACATCATGTCTGTTCTTCGATCTCAGGCTGGAGTTACAGAAATTTCTGAAGAGGATGATACAGTCAACTTAATGGAACATGTTTTTTGGTAGTGCTACGTCTTAACCAGTTGAGGGAGCTTGTATAACATTTTATGTGTATTGGTTGGACAATTTGATTTTGGCATAACTAACTTATAAATAAATCCAAAGTATGAAGCTCTCAGAAATAAATCATGCTTTTGTTATGTTGACATTTAGATCTGTCCTTGAAACATTTATACTATTTCATTTCCCCCCCCCAATATGGTCATTTCTTATATTGAATCTTGATAAAATCCAAGAATATAACTCAGTTTAGATACATACTTCCATCTAAGGGCATAAGCTAATATCTAGATATATTCCTTTCTGGTGATCTGATTTCAGAGCAAGAACGGGAGAAGGTGTGAGTAGTATCCTGTCAGACTAATATCCCAAATATTGAATGCTATGAGCCTGCTTTTTAACAAGAAAAGAAGGTTGTCATTTCATGGTTGGACTCACTGGTGAAATCCTAAGTATAGTAATTTTGTAATACTGATTTTAAGATGTGCTCCATGCTTTGGTATATGTAAATAGCAAATGTTAGGCTTCTACTCTAAAAGTTGGGAATCTAGCATGTTACTACCTAGAGAGAAGACCAGCCAAATTTTGCATGGAAGAAGACCTGAGACACCTGTAGGTATGGAACATATATCCTAAGATGTAGTTTGGGATGATTTCAAATGTCTAAATAAGTATTTGATGGAATACTCAGGTTCTGTGTCATGGACAGGTAGGATATGCAACATATTTAGTGATCCACATGGCATGGGCACCACCAGTCAAACAGAACAGATCCCCAGCTAATCATAACAGCTTCCAGCCCTTATGCCACAGGAGAGCATACCAGCTAAATGTCAGCCTAGATCATGGAATTTGGTAACAGTGAGCTGCTATGAGATGGAGTTAAGAGTCAAGCTTTCCACTCCTAAATTTAAATTGAATGTCTCTTTTTTACTCTATAGTGGAAAGAATATGTACTTGAAGTCAGATAGTGCCATATTTAAATTCTTGTCTTACGTCTTCTTCTTTGTAAAATATAGGCAGTAATACCTCCTCCAAAGGTTTGTCCTAAAGGTTAGTGATATGTGTGTTTGACATAAGCATATTACATAATGGAGGAATTTCATAGACGATAACTATTACTTCTGTGTAAGAGGTCCCAGAAATCTATATTCTTCTACTTGGCTTAAACTTACTAAATCCCACGTATCTGTCTTGTAAAATTATCCTTCTTTGGAGTATTCTATAATATTGACACACCTTATTTCCTATGTAGTAAGCTATCTGTCTATGCTAATATTAGGGTTTCTTGGCTTATCTTAAGTCCTGAGGGTACTGGCTGAATTCTCAGTTTTTCCATATGTTGCTAAACACTGTACTGCATAATTATAATTTAGTTTTCTAAAATATATTTTAAAGTAATATATGCACACAATTTAAAAAAATGTATTACTACAAGGCTTATAATAACTAATAATATTTTGATTTCTGGCCTTTGCATTAGCTATGATTTTTGAAAAGAAGAGACGAAGGATGGGAAAAAAGGAAGAGAAAGAGAAAAGACATTTCAGCAGCGTTTATTTTTATTTAAAAATTTAAAAAAATTTTATTTATTTTTAGCAGCATTGGTTTTTAATGTACGAATGGCTCAAAACCTTTTTTCTTTGAGACTTGTATGATTGATAGAAAGCTATTACGTGTCCATTGACAGAATGTAGGGAAATTTAGTGTCCATGAAAGCCAGAAGGATAAAGTAGGAACATAAATGTGAAAAAAGCTTGGAACAGCAGCTGTTGTTGTTGTTACTGTTAATTTTGCTTTGATTTTAAAATGTTTTTCCTCCACTCATTATTATTCCTCCTCTGTTTAGCATTATTTTTGGCAGTTTTCCCAAGGAATGTGAAACTTGTCAAGTGAATATAAATTAAAACGTCTAGAGATGAAGTTGGGAGAAAGAGCAAGAAAGAATATGAAGTCATGTGGGGGAAGGAAGAGTGGAGCTGTGAGCTACATAAGGTTTGGAAGCAGTTGGAGCCTTCTGTAGGCTGCATTGAGAGATGCATAACAGGAGCCTCTTGGCATAGGATCCTGCATTCGAGACCAGCTATACCACAATCTGGCTTTTTGTCCTTTTCTTCATAAATTTATTTTGACTAGATAATTCCTCATCATTTATAACCCAAAAATTCTGTAATTCTGCAAAGGTACAGATGATTCCCCAGTACTTTTTAAGCTTCTGCCTAAATTTGAAATACCAAGATTCAACATCAAAATCAATAATACATTGAATGCCTACTTTGTGTATGGTCTCTGCTATCAAGATTATAGCTTCAGTGGAGACACAGTATGCTTTTAAAAATAATAATTCCTCAGTATCATCTAATATCCAGTCCATATTCAAATTTCACCAATTGCTTAAATATACCTTTTTATAGTTGATTTGTTCCAATTAGGATCTAAACAAGGTTCGTTGTGTTCTGTTTGGTTGTTGTATCTTTGCATCTAGAGTATGCCTCTCCCCTCCCCCTTTTTTCTTTCTCTATTGACTGGTTGGACTGGGTGTTACCAGTCCATTTTGTTACCAAAAATGTTCCCCCTGTTAGATTTGTCTGACTGGTATTTGTCCTTTATTTGTTAATCTATTTCCCATATTTCCTATAAATGGAAGTGAGTTCTAAAGACTTGACTAGCTTTAGCTTCAGCTATTTTGACAAGATTACTTACAGGTATGTTGAGTACTTCACATTCTATCATATTATGATGCACTAAGTGTTGGGTTGTCTCATTGCCTCTTGAGATACATGGCCTGCAGGGTCAGGATTCCAGCTGCCTCCTAGCCTCTTTCCTACTGTACTCCTCACTTGCTTCCACCCAGATGTGTGCTTGCTCTTTGTTCCTCCTGTAAGGTGTGGTGGTTAAACGTAGTGTCTCTCCTGATCGGATGGAGGGCCCAAGTGTGGGATGACAATCTGGTGGAAGCTAGTGGCACAGGAGGTGAGAGGATTCACCTGAGGCAGAACAAAGGAAATAGAAGTTTATTGAGTACACTGCAGGGGAGCAGCGGGCAGGACAGCAGAGGAGAGGTGTCTGCCAGGAGGCAGTGGAGTGGGGAGCAGTGCTGTATTTAAAGCTGGAGGGTGAGGTGGGGTGAGGAAGTATGGAATTTTCCCTTTTTTGGTGACTGCTGGTTGTAAATAGCCCACTCATCAGTTAAGGCCTATGGATATTTTGACATGAGTCTCCTGATGGCCCTGTCTGTATTCAGCCAGGGGGTCCCTGGGGGCCCTTTCTACATTCTGTTGCTCAAGCCTGCTTGCCTAAAAGTGGCCTCTACATGAGGGGCTTTAAAATATGCTGTTTCTTTTACCTGGAAGCCTCGTCCCTTTCTTCTTACCTAGTTAATAATTTCTTTTAGGGGCGCCTGGGTGGCTCAGTCGGTTAAGCGTCCAACTTCAGCTCAGGTCATGATCTCACGGTTTATGGGTTTGAGCCTGCATGGGCCTCTGTGCTGCCAGCTCAGAGTCTGAAGCCTGCTTCAGATTCTGTGTGTCCCTCTCTCTCTCTGCCCTTCTCCCACATGCACTCTTTCTCTCTCTCAAAAAAAAAAAAAAAGGGCACCTGGGTGGCTTAGTTGGTTAAGCGTCCGACTTTCGCTTAGGTCATGATCCCGTGGTTTGTGGGTTCGAGCCCCGCGTCGGGCTCTGTGCTGACTGCCAGCTCAGAGCCTGGAGCCTGTTTCAGAGTCTGTGACTCCCTCTCTCTCTGACCCTCCCCTGCTCACGCTGTCTCTCTCTCTCCTAGAAATAAATAAAACATTAAAAAAAAAATTAAAAATTTTTTAAATAAATAAAAACAAACTTTTTTTACTTCAGTTTTTAGTTTAGTTAAAACTTCCTTAGGGAAGCCTTTCTTGACTTCCTCAGTTAGGCTAATTTTCCCTTTTATAGGCTGTCCTTCATTGCAGTTATCCTCGTTGTAGTTGGGGACAGTACTTTTAATTGACCCTTTTGAGGGTATGGGAAATGGACTAGGGTTAACTGTATTTGTCTTCTAGGGCTGCCAAAACAAAGTACTACAAACTGAGTGTTTTAACCAACAGAAGCAGAATGTCTCACAGTTGTGAAAGCGACAAGTGTGAGATCCAGGTGTTGGCAGGGCTGTTTCCTTAGCTTGTAAGGGAGGAATCTGGTCCAGACCTCTGTCTCTCTCCTTGACTTATGGGTGGCCATCTTCCTCTGTCTCTTAGGTCATCTCCCCTTTATGCATGTCTGTGTCCAAATTTCCTCTTCTTATAAGGACACCAGTTATATTGGAGTAGGGCCCACCCGAATGACCTCGTTTTATTGATTACCTCTGTAAAGACCCTGTCTCCATATAAGGTCACATTATGAGGTACTGGGGGTTAGGGCTTCAACATGGGGATTTGGAGGAAGTCATAGTTCAACCTATAACATTCACCACTGTATCACCAAAATCAAACACTGTGCTGGGTACAAAGTCAATTTCAATAAATAGTTGCAGGAATAAATACCTGGTATCTCCCATATTTAATGTTCATGTTATGAATTTACTGTTGCTTTATTTTTCTTTGGTAAATTTTATTGATATGTAAACATACATATACCCAATAATACATTCTGAAAAATGCACAAATTATAACTCTAGAGCACAATAATTTTTCACAAAGAGAACACATTGTGTAACTAACTCCAAAGTGAAGAAACAGAATACCCCTGTCATCCAAGAAGCCCCTTTAAGTCACTGTGATCCCTCTCCCAAAGATAGCCACTATTCTGACTTCTCATATCATTGATAAGTTTTATCTGATTTTGAATTGTATATAAAAGAAATCATAATGAATTTTTCTGTGTGTGTTTGGTTCTTTTGCCCTTTATTATTTTTGTGAGATTTTTTCCACCGAGTATACTTGCAATTATTCATTCTCAAAGCTGTTTATCATTCCAATATGTAAGTACACCAGAGTTGTAGCAGGAATGGATATTTAAGTTGTTTCCAGTGTGAGGCTAATACACATAGTGCTTTCATGAACATTCTTATCCGTGTCTTGTATACAAACATAAGTGTGCATTGTTGTTGGATTCCTGCTTTGTTTTTAGGTTGTATTTTGAGTGTATATTAAAAGTCAT